CAGTGTCAGGGGCCTCCCCAGACCAGTGTGGATATTGGGGCCTCCTCAGATCCACTAGGGCCTCTCAGGCCATCAGTCTCAGGTGCTTCGACTGACAAGTATGAACAGAGGGCCTCCTTGGATCCATCACGGCCCCTTGGAGTCCGTGCGTGGGGATTCGTGGAACTTATTTTTACCGAGTTTGTTTATTCTGGAAGGTGACGACGTCCTCTCAAATCGAGACGAGGGGCCTCGAGTAAAAAGTGGGTGGGCCAAAACACATGGTTGGCCCCCCACCTCGAAAAGTGGGTGGGCACTTGCCCACCTGGCCCCCCCCCCCCTGTTCCTACGCCTATGTGTGGGCTAATAAGGGCTCTCACAGGCGCTTGCTTGTCTCAGCCCGATGCTCGAGGGCCCCAGCCCGAGCCTGATGGCCCCGCACCGGAACTTTAAGTCCTAAACAGGTACAGTCCACAGCAGAGGTAATATGTGGTTTCAGTCATGGGTATGTTCTGCTTCTGAAGCCTAGGAACGATTAGCCAGACTGCAACGAGACTTTAAATGTAGCTTACATGTATCTTCACCCTTGCAGCTACAACTTTGTCTATTGACGTCTTCTTTTCAATCAGTCCGCATTTAAAAATCGTCGGTCAAAGCCATCCGTTGAGATTGGTAAAACCACACATTAGGTACTTTAGCGGTGGGCTTTACGTGCGGGTGTAATCTTGCAGGTTATCTCAGGGCCCCATGGGCCAGTATCGAAAGGCTCTCGCCGGCTCTTAAGGGCCCCAGCCCCCTTAGGTCTCTTGGGGCCGAAGTCTGAGGGCCCCGCACCGGTACCTAAAAGCCCAGTTATCCCAGCTGGCCCCGCCAGTTTCTAAGGGCCCTCACCGGCTCTGGAGTGGTGAGGATGACCCGGATACCATTTACTGAAATGGATAGGTCATCTGAGGTCAAATATGGTAAAAAGTAGTTTTTCCACGATATAATGGTGCTTAAAACTAGTAAATAGTGTGGTACCAAACTGTCATGACATGTCGATCGCTAGGTGCAAAAAGACCTGCTTGGGTCAAGACAAGACCTGACCTTGACGTGGGTCGAATAGTGAAAGTGACCTACCGACTACCGAGGTCTATCAAATATATATTTCGAACCATCTCGACGGAAAAAAGATGGTACAAATTTTATGTCTAACGAGTTCAAAACGATTAAGCTAAAACGGTCGGAGCTTGGGCGGGGAAGCTACCCCGCCTCCCCCCCCCCCCATCCCCGTGGCGACGATAAAGATTGAAGCCCAGAGGCTTTGCCTGTAACCGTACTAAGTTGAATTATCGGGCTGCAAATGTAGGTACAGGTAATCGGTCGGCTGCCATTAACCCGCGCTGGGGGTGGGGAGGGGGGGACTACAGAGAACTCCCCTCGCTTTTCTGCAACATCTTCTAAACGACTGGGCGTATCCATGCACACGAAACTTGCAGTACCTACTACCTTGAACCTTCGGCTCCATCACTTTGACACCTCGTGTTCCAATGAAAATTTATTCGCTTCTCATAGGTCAACCGGAAATAACGTCAGAGTGACGTCATGTTCGGCCAATTTCGATGCAAAACATTCAGCTACGGTAATCGCTCCCAAGAGCTTAGTTTCTTAACTAAATCATTTTTCTTAGATGAGAGAACTCAGAATACATACGGATCTGTAGGGTAATTGGTGCCTAATTAGCGACCCCCTTAATTTGAACCGTCATTGCTCACGCTCTATGGGTGCCACTGTATTACTGGCTTGATCTTCGAAGAGATCGTACATTTTGCTATTAAAATCCATTCATTTTCTGCACCAATATCCACTAATTTATTTGCACTGAGCATTTTGGCAAACCATTGCAAAAACGTTAATAGGGAACTCGTCCCGATTAGCGACCACGGTGAGGGTCGCTAATAAGTCTATGGGTTTTCCCATAATAAAAATGGCAAAAAATGCGACGCCTGCAAATTTGCAATATGGTTCCAAACAGGCAACTTATACGCAAAGCACTCAATCATTGGAACAGGAGCGTTTGTCCAACACCTTTATGAAGGTGAAAACTGATCACGTGATGCACCAAAGGCAAAAATAAGGCGAAAACCCATATATCGCGGGCTATCTCGCATGATATTCGAGGCCCGCCCTGGATTCGGCATCGGCACCCCTGCAGTCGGTGACGACAGTTGGTATCACCCGCCACACATCGCAAACTTCAGCAACACCTCATTTTAATTTCTGTCTGTTTCCTTTCTTTCTCTTCTTGAGCTATTTGCGACCGTGTTGGGCGCAAATAGGAAATATGGGCTGCGACACATTTTTGACTACCATGCAGTGCACAATAACAAGATTCACTACGGGAAAACGGCAATCAATTAGAAAAGGATTGTCGATTTAGAATAAAAAAAGGTGCATTATCTTAATGTGCATCGCTTTTCATCAGATAGGGTCCAAATGCACACGTTTTGGATAAGAGACTGGCCATTTTTATCGCAACTCCCCTAAAACGTTCCACCAGAAGCACCAGCAACCGGAAAAGAATTTAGTTTGATAACCAAAGTATGGCAGACCTTTTGACATTGTTTTTACCCCGATTTATCTTCCCAGCTTTTCTGTAGGGAGGTATGTCGCAAATAGAAAAGGGTCGCTTATTAGGCACCTTACCCCAAGATTACTTTACTACTCCCTTACCCTACAGCGGGGGAAGCCGGGGGAGGCCCGGCATAATAAGCTCTTTTTTATTTTTATGACATACCTTGCGTGATGTATAAAATGTTGATACCCTGTTAGCTTGATAAGTTAACCCGGCAGTTGCTGGGGCATTTTGCCACCCACCGTTTGCTGGGGGGGGGGGGGGGGCGTTAAACGCCCCCAGCCGATAACTCGAGAACCAATAGGCGCAGCGAAACGCACGAGGCGGCAAACGAAAGAACGCGACGAGACGCTTCAGATGAGTACTTTAAAGTTGAATTTTGAGGTCACAGGTCGGGTCAAGGTCAGGTCAAACACCTGAAATCGGGCTTTCGGTAGCATGGACTTCAGGACTTCGCAATGGGCGCCTCTCGTCATAAACTCTGTCAAAACGGTGCACAATCTATCATATAAGGCCTACAAGAGTGTCAGCTCTATGTAGGGGTCAGTCAAGTATAGGTCAGGGTCAAGGTCAGGTCAACCGGGTAGGCACATATCCCCGAAAATCAAAACTGATATTCGCAGCCTGTGACACATGTTTTATGGGTAATTTGGGGCGTAGAACACGATGGTGACATTCATTTTATCATATGTGTACGCGTTTGGCTCAAAAAGTTAAATTTAAGAAATGCATGTATCATGGTCGTGAGGTAGTCACGAGAAATTGCCAAGATTCAGTTCAAGATTTTGGAAAATGCGGAGCGATAATCAATAATCGAAGATAGCCATTTGATTGTTCATGGTATTGGCAGTTTAATGGCGTTTACGGCATGTCTGTATGTCTATTCTGTGATTTTATATGATTTTTTGAACATATGCCGTTTTTGGTCGAAAACTCAGAAATCATGATGTCACTAAAACCTCGATATCTCAAAAATTTTCCGACCGATTTTTTTTGAAACTTTGTCGCAATAAACTTCAGTCTTCAATCAATTCCCTACAGGTACCCAAAATTTGGCGCGCCTGCGGCGCGCCGTTTTTATGCTATGGCCCGGCGAAAAAAGTGGGGGCGTTTAACGCCCCCCCCCCAGCAACTCGCGGGTTAACTGGCCGTGTTGTCCCAAACACGGTTGCCTGGCCGTGTTGTTTATGTTTTTTTTTAGATTTCACCTCTGTCGATCGTCCCCCCCCAGTCAAAAATCCGTGGCGACGCCCCTGCCTGCAGCCTCAACGAACAACTTCTAGTAAAGTTATCCATCAAACCAAATACCATCGACCTCCTAACCTTTCGGTAAATGCCACCAGGCGCCAACAGCTAACAGCTCTGTCCGCAATTCATTGCTTTGTTAAGTGCATCTGTACCGGCCGAACAACGAGTTGCCACGCGGCGCGCAGCCGGCGCCGAGTGCAGCTGCACCTAGCGAGCGAAGAGCTAGCACGCGGCGCGCCGATTTGGCGCGCTTTTGGTTCCCGCGCTTTCTTGCTATTTGGCGGGAGACAGAGTGGCGGCGGCGGCGGCGGCGGCGGGAGCACAGAGCAGCCACCGGCAGTCGGCTCTGGTTGTTAATAAATAGAAGCGGGATCCACTGTATAATACCTAGTGGCGTCATATTACCTAGTGACGTCACATCGTGAAGATGTGCCGCTAAACGCGACGCATTCGCCACCTGTCAAGCGAGCCTAAAACTAAAAGTTTATAACAAATATGCCAGAGCCAGGTGGCGCTTCTGAGTCTCTTGAGTGGATCCATCTTGTCTGTATTGTTTTGGATGATACGATTCTGGATGTTGCATGCTTGGATGTTTCGCTCTTGGATGAACCGTCTTTGGATGATACGATTCTCAGATATTCTCGTGCTGCCATTTTGGATGATACGGTTTTGGATTCTGCATCCTTGGATGTTTCGCTCTTGGATGCTCTGAATGGTCCCAAAAGGGCCGATTTTGATTTTGGATGTTATTTGGAGGTTTTGATCACTGGATGCTGCGGTTTTGGTTGTAACGTATCTTGGATGCTGCGCTCTTGGATGCTTTAATAGCCCCCCGCACCGCACACCCACTCTAAAAAACCTACCAGGAGTTCTTTGTTCGGAGAGGTGCACAATTTGATAAATTGGTTGGCCTTTTACCAGTTGGATACAATTGGAAACCACAGCAGGCAGCTCGGTCAATACCGCCTGTCCTGAAAGGCTTCCTGCAGTCTCGCAGTTGACGTCAATAGGCCGTTAAAGGATAATTATTATTTGAAAGGTTCACATCAATTACGTTAACAGCATAAAGCATGTCTAATTGACCGCATGCAACCTACGTCACACTAAACAAAATAACTTAACGGTCACCACGGTAAGCGGGACGAAACCAAACGCAGCATACCGATTCAAATATATTCAAACCTTTGATAACAACCTCAGACATTCTATTCCACGCTGACCTGTGCTGGTAATGCTCTCAACCCGCTTCCACTAGAGGCCAAAGCTTGTCCAAGCCCACAACAGATGGCAGCACAGAAGCTGAAAAACCGCTCACAAAAAGTATCTCACATCAGCGACCAGCACATCTCGCACACACTCTGAAAAGTGAAAACAAAAATCACACTCCCTGGGATCCATCCAGTACGTCACGACACCAGCGCCACGGTCACATAGTGGCCAGAATGTGAACTTCCAGTGTCCGTTCCTCTCCGTAGGTGGCGCTGTGCTACCTGAAGCCCGGCACGTGCAGCTCTGGCGAGGCGAACAGTAGCTTCCTCTGCGGTGGTTCGGTCGGCTGCCGGGGGGGGGGGGGCATTATGTCAATAATTAACGGGGTAAATCGTTATTTCTAGCGTCAATTCCTCTGACGCCTGGTGAACTTTTTACTGTTAGCTCCTCCACTGATTTTTACTGTTTACTTTAATTCTTTAGTTTCCGGTCGTCAGCGTACACTGCACCCGTCCGTCGTTTCCAGCTTCAGGACATTCAAATCGTTCTCCTCCACGCCGCAGCCCTCGTTCCGGGCTGAACAGGCATCTTTATCTTTCTAGTTGAGGTTTATTTGCCATTGGGTCTACAGTGCAGGGATATTTCTATCTATCACAAACAATTGTATTTCACATTACCACAGGGAACATTTCGATGACACACTAGACACTACCACTCATATGCCGTTAGTGCTTTGGTTTTGCACCAAATATTTCGCCCCATGGAACCTCGAAGTCGCTTGGGGCTAGCTTTCTCCCATTCTCGATGAGCTGGCCAAATACGCTGGATTTTGATGAAGAAGCTGGTGGAGCTACTTCTGCGTCTACGGCTGAGTCCGACTCTTCTGCCGGGCCAGACGCGCGTCCTGCGACACACCCAACGTGATGGGGACCAGCTTCAGGAGGGGCTGTGGCGAGGATAGCGGCGGAGTTTCCCCGGATGATTGCTATCGAGACTCTTTGTAGAAGCCAGGACACTTCTCTGGGGTCCTTAGTCGCCGCAGAAATCCGACCGCCGATATCCCGGAGCAGCTTTGACCCTGCTTCTCCGACTACGCCGGTAGTCTCCACTGCTACTGGAGTGAAGATGTAGCGGTCTGCAAGACTGGCGTAGCGCATGCGCTTCAGGTTCTCGGCGGCGGCTGCAGCTGCGCCGGGATCCACTGCACACTTCACCACGTGTGACTCAGCGAACGTGTCAACGCATGTGGCGTCCCATGTGAGGCTTCGACCGGCACTGAAGGGGAACGTTGTCAGTCCGTCGGGGCGCCTTCCATCTCCTCTGTCTAGCCCCACAGGTTCTAAGACCGATGGTACGCCAGCGCTTGCCAGTGCTCGTTTAATGACGTCATTTAGGGCTGCGTGCCGTGGGAAGCGACCGGCGCTCTTCTTGCATGATAGGCCGTGGTGTCCCAGCCTGTCCACAGAGCATCCACATAGCTTGCATTGGTGGGGCTCACAGATGGGCAGGCCTAGTCGGAGGGCTACCGCTATACGAATGGTCTCGTCATCAATGTACAGTCCCAGGCTGGGGATTGGAGGTGCTTGCAGCCAGGCTGCAGTATGCGGCATACAAGCAGCACCGAGACGAGCGCGATGTTTCTGATTGGCTCCGGCGATCAGGCGGTTAGCGGTGACAGTTGACGCGATGTCGTCCCAGGTCTTTTGGAGACTGGCCGCCGGGCGTTCTGGAACAGTCTCGATGCCAGTTGCAGCCATGAACTGCTCCGTGGCTGGTTGCAGTGCCGCTGGCTCAGGGCCCGTGAAGGTTGAAGGGCAGATACATAAGACCAGCGGTGCTGCTGCGGTGAGAGACGACAAGAAGCAGGGCAGAGCGAGAGCGTGCACGGAGCGCACGCCGAGCCCGCCATGCCTCTGGGGCAGTGCAGCCTGCTCCCAAGCCTCGTCTGTCAGTGCCACGTTACCAACTTCCTGGAGCGTGAGACGAACTGTGCTGTCGATTCGGGATAGCTCTGCAGGCTCCCGATAGGCTGGCGATGAACGTAGGAGATATTGCACTCGCGGGGCAGCTACGTACTTCGATAAGAAGAACAGAGCTGTGTGCCGATCGAGGAGGCGGAGTCGACTGCACAGCAATTTGATAGTCGTGTGGGCTGATCTGACAGAGTCGCCAAGCCCAGCCTCGTGTAGCGGTGAGCCGAGCAGTGTGAGCTGTTCAGGAGGGGGTGGTTTTGATGCCGGCGAGGACTGACAAGATGGTGCTGATGACGCTCTGGCCTTCGGCTGGAGTGCCACCGATGGTGGTTAGCTCGCACTTTGATTTGTTTAGTTCTAGGCCGAGCTTTGGAAGTTCGGTACATAGAGTTCTAAGGTCTTCCTCCACTGTTTCCACTGGTCCTGCAATTGTGGCATCATCCAAGTACCAAAGGTTCAATGGAGACTTCAGGGATCGCGCGCACCCATCCACCACCAGAGCGAAGAAGGCTGGACCCAGTGGATCACCCTGTTGGACTCCACAGCTGGACATGATGACGTGATCTCCGAAGTGGAGCGGCGATGGAGCGCTGTAGGCTTGATAGGCAAGCGGGTATACCTCTGGGCAACGAGTTCGTACCGCATTCAGCATCTGGTCTCTTCTGACCGTGTTGAAGGCATTGGATATGTCCACTTTGATAACCGCTGTCGGGACTGACACATCAGAAGTGAGCACCTCACGAGTGGCGTGGACAGCCGCCTCGCAGCCGAGGGGTGTGCCAACACCCAGCTGAACTGGTCTCAGCTCTGGGCCGATGATGCTGGCCATGTGATGGGCTGCCATGCGACTAGCTAGTCGGCGGTAGACACTACCGATAGCTATGGGTCTCAGCCCTCCATCCTTCTTCCTTAGGGCGCAGAGTGTGGCTCCGAAGAAGCTGTCCCGGGCATGATCCGGTACAGCACCTCTGAGGGATTGTTGATAAGATTCGTGATGGATTTTAGGAGCCGTCTTCCTGGCTCGGTGGCTTCTGCCGAGGTGAGCTGCTTTAGGTGCATGGGTCGTATTCCGTCCAGACCGGCTGCAGATCCCGGTGGCATGGTCCTGATGGCAGCCTGAACCTGCTCCTCGGTGACGGTGAGGATAGGCAAGTCCGACGTGTTGGGTGCAGGAGGGAGGACCTCGTCAGCGGGCACTGGTGGATGTTTCTGTTGCAGAACACTCAAGACCTCGGGAGAAGCCTGAGTGAACTCTTCGGTAGACGTAAGGATGCGGAGAGCGCCTTTGATGTCTTTATCTGCGCATTTCCCATGGACTCTGCGAGCAACCAAATCATCACCGGTCTCGCGACCAGGCTGAGTTGACGTCATAGATGTCAGCCGTGCAGGTGGAGGACACGACTGGTGGTTAGCGTTGATGTCATTGATTTGCTGCTTGATAGCGCTGACGATGGAAGACCGTCTGCCCTTGTTGGGTGCTCGAAGAACCACAAAAGCGAAAGACAGAAATCGCGACCATGTTTCAAGGCTGGATTCTGAGAGAGCTGTGTCTATGATGGAGGATAGGGCATCTGCGACAGAGGCACGAGCTGCCTTGGGAATCCGCTTCACGACAGGACAAGAATCACGCAGTTTTGCCAGTCTTGAATGTAGTTCTGTAGGCGTAGAGCCATCGGGGGACGGTGACGGTCGTGTACCTTGTGTAATGGTATGCTGTGAGAGCTGCAATCCGAGGTTGACATGGTCTGAGCGACAGTTCCGGCAGTGCCAGACCGGCAGTGTCTGCGCTTCTTTGACCTTCAGGCCTGCGCACGCAGTGTGCCATCGCGTGCCACATGCCGAACAGAGGATGGCCGCCTTCCTGGCTGATAGGCTGGTACAGCCACCACAGCTGCCCGCAGACTGAGAGCCCGAGCTTGGAGGCCCGCTGACATCGGCTTCTGAGAAGGCGCAGGCCATGCTTTCCTTTGAGTTGTGAACGCTGTGTCTTTGGCGTATTTCCCGGACAGTCCATGAAAAGGATCATTCGTGATCATCTCTAGGTGGAGGCCGATCTGTTTGCATGTATTTATCTTCACTTGTTTCTGCCGAAGTGGCAAGTGGCAGTGCATTGAAATTAACTGATAATACGCTTTGATGATACGCACGAGAATAACCGTTAAAAATCGAGAACACGTGAAAAGTTCAGGCAGGCTAAATTATTACGTTTGGGCGCAAAATATTACATTTTTTAACTGCTTATAACTATCCAACCGCTCACAGTTTTAATTAGCAGAAAGTATCTGAATGATCTACGTTAAATTACGAACATACGGTACATATTTTTACCGCATGACACATCCTATTTTAGGTAAAATACACCAAATCACGGAGCACTGTCAAACACATCTAACCCAAACCAGACTATCCAATCATCCAATTTCTATCTCGCACTCATCTGAGATGCAAAGATAAGGTCTCGAGGGTTCATAGCCAAAAATCAATAGTTCAAGTGATGATGGGTCAATAACTGAACCATTTTAATGATTGTTCGTGTATGAAACTTATGAAATAAAAACAAACTAATTTTAATCTATTTTTAGGTACATAGATGAATACATTTAAATATAATATTTAATTAATTAAGAATAAACCTCAACATAGAAAGATATAGGATTCTTCATGGCTCACTCGTGGAAGACCGGATCTCTTTTCCTCGCGTGTTACAGAAAAACCTCGCTCCTTCGTCGCTCGGTTTTTCAGTAACCCGCTTGGGAAAAATATCCTTATCTTCCACTCGGAGCCATGAAGACCTCTATATCTCATGCGGGCTGCTCCCTACTTGGGGGCTGCTCGGCCCGTCCTCTGGACGGGCTCAGCCCCGGTGACTCACCAGGGTGCCTGCCCAGACCAATGTCTCCCCCCTAATTCCTATCATCCTCCCGGCTCTGAAATGGTCTTGTCAGACCGAAACGGCCTGACGCAATAAAGCAAAACAAACAAAAACAAACACAAATATCTTGTCAGACCGAAAGGGCCTAACCCAACAAAGCAAAACAAACAAAAACAAACACAAAGATCTTGTCAGACCGAAAGGGCCTAACCCAAAAAAGCAAAACAAACAAAAACAAACACAAACAAACGCACACTACCGTCTCACCTGACTGGCTTTGTGCAGCAGTTTGAACAGACCGGTACCCAGTGACGTGGGCATACCCATGATGATACACTCGGATACGCCCGTGATGACGTCTTTTTGGCCGTAGTAGGCGGCGTCGAACAAATGGTCCGAGGTCTTCTCGAACTGGGGACGATTAGACATTGGAGTGAGTGGAGGAATGCGTTTGTCGAGCGCTTATTTTGAGAGGAGGGGGAAACATTTGTTAAAACATATAACGTGATGCTCAACAGTTTTACGAATACCTTAAAACCGTTTATGATTGACATCACTGGTAGAATAATGCCAGTCAATAAAGCAAGATTCAGGAACGGATGTGTGTGGAAGAATTATTTCCCTCAATTCTCAAGTATGCTTGAAATTTGATGTTTAATACCGGTTTCACACCTGATTAACGCTTCATATCCCCGCAACATCCCTTTCCCGTATTAGGCAAGACAGTGGACATCCCTCTCCACTCTAAAATTTAGACAACAGCAAACCCTTTCGCCTTCATGGTAGCTAACACGGCCCTACCCCCTTCCCCGCTCCAACCCTCCTACTCACCGAGGCCAGCATGAGCACGCTCTCCTTCATCTTGGCCAGGCCGTAGCGGGTGATGCCGAGCACCTCACCCCTCGAGCACATCAGATCGGCCAGCAACATCACGTGCCGCCGGTCTATGGACATGCCGTGTGATTCCATCGTATACTGGATCTCGTGGATGATGGTAGACCTCGCCGCCTCCACACCCAGCGTCGTGAACACCTCGTGAGTGTTGTTGGAACTTGTCGCGGTACCTTTCACACCATACGTTGCCATGACTTCACGGAGGTTGTTTCCCTCGACGAACAGCTTGTAGCGGGGAGCTCCTTTACTGTCATCAATGGCTATAATCGCTCGGGCGACAGACGGGAGACCTTTGATGACCACACCCGGGAGATGCTCCTTCAGACTCTGAATCTGGTAGTAGAGGGATGACGATGATTTTCCCGCGCCAGCGCGCACTGTGATGATTGTATCACTCTCCACAGTCACCGAAGCAGGGCGGGTAGGCAGGCGGGCGGTGCAGATGCTGTACCGGATGGACTCGGCGTCCACCTCGAGTTTGAGCAGTCGGATCCGCTCTGTGTCCAGTTTGATGAGCAGGAAGGTGTCATCCGGCAGGTAGACCTCCTCGATGTACTCGGACACCTGGTCAGAAGGGGGAGAGAGGGGTCAGGTCACAGGGGGAGAGAGGGGTCAGCGGGGTCAGGTCAGAAGGGGAGAGAGGGGTCAGAAGGGGAGAGGGGTCAGAAGGGGAGAGAGGGGTCAGCGGGGTCAGGGCACTGAGGGGGGAGAGGGGTCAGCGGGGTCAGGTCAGGGGAGAGGAGAGGGCGGTCAGCGGACATCCACGAGAGTCGCATACTGAGTGGCGAAAGTTAACAATGTCAAATATTTTCCCGAACAATTTTTCAATAGCAATGAAAAGGTGCACAGAACAGTGGAAAAGACTGTAAAATAACTAGTGGCAAGTTTGTTATAAAACCACAAAATATTTCAATCGAACAGCAAATATATAATAACTTCGTCGACAAATAATGATTCCCTATCTAGCGCAATCTGCCGCAACTCAAGCATGCCTTTTCGTGTTCAAGTTGCAATGAGCCAGTGTCCCAAAAATGTATCTTTGCTTGGGTGTCAGAGGGAAAAATGGAGAATTGAAGGTGAAAAAAATGGATGTGAGAGTGGAGAATTGTTTTCATTTGGATGTCGTTTCCCAACTAAATCAGCAGTTTGGGATGCTGCAATAAGCTATTAAGAATAAGCAAGTCAATGCGTATCAGGAACGGGTTTTACTATTCAATCAGCATTGTGATCCGTTTGCATATTACAAACGGATGCATCCCCGGTGCCCATTCATCCCCTGTCAATGACACTCCCATTAACCAACTGATCTGTTATCACAATTATTCCCTCCCGTATCCCCATTCCCCGTCAAACTAACTCTCCCCTTTATCCCACCGAACCCACCTGTCCCAGCATGGTCTTCTCGATCCTCCCCTTCACCCGACGCGCGAACTCAGGGTCCGTGTCATCCACCAGCTGAGCAGTCACTATCGGCGTGCTGATGTTCTTCGACGCGTTGATGATCTCCTTGATCCTCGGCACTCCAAGCGTGATGTTCATCGAAGCCACACCGGCGAAGTGGAACGTCTTGAGGGTCATCTGAGTACCGGGTTCTCCGATACTCTGAGCTGCCAGCGCGCCGACTGCTGTGCCAGGTTCGATGCGCGCGCGGAGGTACTTATCGCGACAGATTTCACACAGCTCCACCAGCTGTGAGACTGTGATGCGATTCAGTCTCGCGCGGACACCTCCCCCCTCCGGCAAGCCTTCCGCCTCCAGGGGGAACGCACGGCGGGTCTGAGCCACCAGCCGCGCCTGGGCAGACACGAACGTTTTCAGCTCCTCGATGAAGGTGGGCTGGCAGGCGGCGTACTCGGGCATCTGGATGATCTCAGCGACTGCTTCGAGGAGACTGTCGGCGTCCAGAGGCTCCTCGTCGGCGCAAGGAGACTTTGCCCGCACGTGGTTCAGGATACGCTCAAAGTCCACCGGCTTGTCCTTGCCTGAAATGGAGAGGTGGGGGGGGGGGGGGGGGTACCGTGAGAAATTCATTACAAATTAAGAATCAGATACTCAGAATCCAGGTGGCGATAGTACCCCTGGGTCAAGACCAACTCAGTTTAGGGAAGGATTCATTTTGCGGGAAAATAAATTACGCATGGATATCACGCAAATACCACGAACCAGCAAATTTATTTATCAAATACTGCAGTTGACCCGTTTCATGAAGTGAGCTGCCGGTAATAACTAATTATAACAGCGAATTTTATAATCATATTAAATTGATGTTTGTGATTTATATCTTTATGCCTGTCACCTTCTGAATTCTTATAATCTATAACACATTTGGGATGATGAAATTAGCGACCGATTTCATATTTCAGGCGCAGTGAACTCACCCTCCATGCAGGCGGGATCCAGGCCGTCCCCGCCATAGCAGAACTGAATCATGTTACCAACCGAATCACGTACGCTGACGTCATACTGCGAGCACAGGTCCTCCAGACACTGGGGAACGGGAGAGATATGACGTCATACTGGGAGGCAGGGATTCTCCAGACACTGGGGAACGGAAGAGATATGACGTCATACTGGGAGCACAGGTCCTCCAGACACTGGGGAACGGGAGAGACATAGCTTCATACTGGGAGGCAGAGGTCCTCCAGGCTCCAGCAGCCAAAAGATCACTGAACGGTGAAAATCACTCCCGACCAATGCCCACTGACGAATTCCGACCACTGAGTATAACCCGATGGCGGCCTCTGACCAGTGACCATTCGCCACTACTACTAGCCATCGATAGTTGACCAATGACCTGTAATTACTGACCCCCGCTCTCTGACTGACCAATGACTCCCCCAAAGGTCACGCTGACACAAGGTCAACTATACATCTGACCCGGGCCTCTCCCCTGTCATTGACCACTTCTGACCCACTGACCTCTTAAACCCTCCCCTTAACGGTTACCCTAACTGACCAAACTGACTGACCACTGACCACAATAGCTGACCAATAGCTGACCACTAACCTTGACCAGTCGCCGCTGCATGTAGCCGGTCTCTGCTGTTTTGACGGCCGTGTCTACCAGACCCTCTCGGCCACCCATGGTGTGGAACATAAACTCGGTTGGCGTCAGACCGGAGTAGAAACTGTTGCTCACGAAACCCTTGGCGTCCGGCGTCTTGGCTGAGGGAGTTAAGATAGGTCCAAACCAGCTTAATGGTAATTGCGTGTTTGGTTTGAAGGGCGACGTGAATTCAATGCGTAGATTCAAGTTTCAAGCACATCACAGCCTGTGCACAATAATTGAAGTGTTTAACCCCTAGTAACGTAAGAGTTTATTGACCCACTAATCTTTAAATCTAAGCACATACTTTAATGACATAAAATACTAAGCCAAGCATGACGGGGTCAGCAACACGGTCATAGACTAACACTCAGCATGTCTCGAGGTGTTGTTTTAACATTAAATCTGTCTCAGTGCCCGTCCAAGAGCAACTGTTACCAAAGTACCAGTCGAAGTGTAAATTAACACTCACAGTACTCCTAGAAGCGTAAACTTGCGCTCAAAGTGCCGGTCGAAGTGTAAGTTAACAAACACAGTACCAGTTAAATTGTAACTTTACACCCATGGCACCCGTCGAAGTGTAAACTCACAGTGGCGGTCGAAGTGGGGCAGGGCGCGGTCCTCGAAGCCGTTGGGCACCCGTTTGCCGCTGATGGCCTGCTGTCCCACACAGGCGATCATCTGAGAGATGTTGATGAACGAGCCTGAAAAAAAACGAGCAGCACCCATTTCAGAGGTCTTAGTTCAGTAGGTAGGTAACGGATAACAGACTAGTCTGAAAACGAGCCAGTGTTAGCGACACCAAGCGTTTAAGTATATCAGCAATCGTGATTCAGTATCAGTAATCGTGATTCAAAAGTCACTGGTCGGCGGAGTCAACATTTTGGTTAGAACCTAAAAAAGAACAAAACCATGGTTGCTATACAAATTCCAGATTTTGTTCACGAACCTGTAATCAAAACACGCCACCACTCACTCTGATCATGATTCCCAACATTTCAAACCCCAAATCTACCCAAATCTAACTGAAACCCCCCGCTAATATAATCCTTCCCGTCCGCACCTTTCGAGCCAGAGAGTGCCATGATGAGGGGCGCGTTCGACTTGTGCAGCTCCCTGAGACAGGCCTTTCCGGCTCGATCACGGATGTCGGAAAGTTCCTTTAGGATGACGGCCTCCAGAGTCTCCTCTTCAGTACAGCCCGGCTGTCGCTGCAGTCTGCCGCCCTCCAGTTGACGGATGTAGTCGTCACACTTGGAGTAGCTGTGGGGGGAGGGAGAGGGGGACAGAGAGAGAGAGAGAGAGAGAGAGAGAGAGAGAGAGAGAGAGAGAGAGAGAGAGAGAGAGAGAGAGAGAGAGAGAGAGAGAGAGAGAGAGAGAGAGAGAGAGAGAGAGAGAGATAAGGGTCAGGTAAGGTGTGAATTACGTGCAATTAAAAAAAGAAGAATACAGAACCTAGGTACAAAACAATCAACCCAAAATCCACCTAATCGAAAACTTCAAAAAAAAAATCCATCATTGCCTAAGAGTCACCTCCATATCACTCAATTTACATAACAACATATTTCTTATCACAACACTACCAATTCCCCGATTCCCGTCCGTACAGTACGTCCATATGACGTCAAGGTGACGTCACCGCTCACCCCTCGTTGAGCAGGCGGTGTTTCTCCTTGAGCAGACCGGCGCCGGGCGTGACGTCACCGATACCGATGCTGAAGCCGCGGTTCATCAGAAAGTAGGAGGTGATCCTGAAACAGGGACACAATATGTAAACATGAAAAGCTGTGAATGTGGCAGGCTTCAACACCATGTTTTTCATCGGAGCAGTCTTCAATCTTAACCTCACAATAGAAAGTACGTCGCTAGCACCGTTCCGCCTACTACCGGCAGCTTGGTTTATAATTACGGTGTTCCTCCGGTTATTTTAATGAACTTCGAACTGGTCGATATGCTTCAAACCCGATAATAATTTCGGAGACTTTCTCATCTTATCATCAGACCTCACCTCACAGAGCGTTTCTTAGTCAGCATATTCTTACTCAATATCTTACACCTCCCCAGTGCCATATCAGTATCACCCGATTCTCACCTCTGACTGCCCATTTTTCTCACCTGGCCACCCGCCACATGCAGTCGGCAGCCACCTCGGAGCCATAGTCACGGTACAGCACGTAGAAGATGTTACTCTTGGATCCACTGCCCAGCACTGATTTGTCCAGCGCTCCTGCCAGGTGCTCGGAGTTCCAGATCACGATATCTGGAGAATTCGAGATCAAACGTCAAAGGTCAGGTAAGGTCACATGTTAGGTAAAGACCGGCTAGTCCTCAATAACGCCATGCTATCACACAACAAATAGCACAGCACATCTTATTAATCGTACCATCTCCCTCGCCCAGTAAGCACTCAAGAACGCAGCTTCTATCACTACACTCTCACTCACTCATTCACTCACTCACTCACTCACTCACTCACTCACTCACTCACTCACTGACTCACTCACTCACCAACCACATAGTCACCACCAATGTCGTCGCCAACATCTTCAAGATCATCATCATCATCATCATCATCATCATCATCATCATCATCATCATCATCATCATCATCATCATCATCATCATCATCATCATCATCATCATCATCATCATCATCATCATCATCATCATCATCATCATCATCATCATCATCATCATCATCATCATCATCATCGGGTGGTGGGGTCAGGGTCAGCACAACAAGCTATGCTTAGTGCGGGCTCTGATTCCTCAAATGCACCCATTCAACCATTCAGACTTAATTTATAAAAAATAATAATAATAATAAAAATCATCATCAACATCAACAGCTCACACGAGTCATTGATGCAGAGTTCGTCGCCAGTCGTGTAGGCCTTTCCCTTGGTCCTCAGGTTGGCCTTGACCGGGCAGCTCTTGTTAGGGCGCATCAGCAGACCAAACAGCTGTTTGCCTGTCCACAGCTGAACTGGCTGCCGGCAGCGAGGGGAAAGAGAATGTTGAAATATGGATTGCATGAACGTATAGGTCAGTGGGCAAGAGACACATTTCAATTCACTTTGTTAATTAAATCATCCAATGTTTATGAAGGCATGGTACGGAAAATTTTCATGGTGGACAATTTAGTTTACAAAAGATTACTTTTCAATTATAGTAATTCGAGTCATTAAAAGAAATTCCATCGTTTACTTCATATTCTGAATACACTAGGTTTTACTGTATCTGGTGTAACCCTGAGACCTGAACCCAAGGCGAGAATAATTCGGTGCCCTCGTATTTACCTTGAGTATGGCCGGCGTGGGCAGGTCGAACCAGGTGTTCTTGTCTTTCCCAGCCAGAATAGACGAGAGCAGCTGGCAAGCCTGTGAAGAGACACGGTAGACGGGCGTAAGACACGGTAGACGGGCGTAAGACACGGTAGACGGGCGTAAGACACGGTAGACGGGCGTAAGACACGGTAGACGGGCGTAAGACACGGGAGGCGGGCGTAATACACGGGCGTCGTCGTAGGAGAGACGGGTGTAAGAGACAAGAGACGGTCGTAAGAGTGGAAACTAGAAGATCGTAAGACAAGAACAGGCGGTCGTAAGAGACGAGCGTAAACAGACAGACGGTGGTCGTAGTCCGTAGAAGACGAGAGACAGTCGTAAGAGACGATAGACGGAACAAGGGTTACATCGGTGCACAATATTAACAATTCTAAATAAAGTCGATAAAAGTTTCCTGTTGATGGCTATCCCAATGTGATCAGATAACGCTGTCAATTACTTCAACCCAGTATAACTCGTCCTTCTGTGTGATTGGTCAGTTGATTTCGCTCGGTCGAAAAAGTCCAACTCTCTTAGTTACCTTGGCCCGGTCAAAGAACTGGTCCTTCTGAGTGATCAGGTAGGCCCCTGTGAGGAAGTCCTGCGTGGCCCCGATCATCAGCTCTCCGTTACGGGGCGTCACCAGGTTGTTCTTCACCTGAAGACGGGAAACATAGCGAGACAAAGTGAGTATACTGCTGGGGGAGGGGGGGGGGGGGGCACTGAGACAGGAAGTTCAGACACACGGCGTTAGCAATCATGGAAGAAATGCGGGTTGTGTGAGCATAATATAGTATCATGTCAAGGCATGACCACGTGACCAACATAGCCCCATGAGCACTGCGTTTGCCCATCATACCACGTGACACAATCTACCCCCATCAGCAATTCAGCACGTCGTCTTCCCCAACCACGTGACACCCTTCCTAGCCCATCAGGACAGTGTGTGCCCATACCACGTGACCTCTGACCTACCCCCATCAGCGCAGTGTGTGCCCATACCACGTGACCTCTGACCTACCCCCATGAGGACGGTGGCCTCGGCCTTGGCTTCCTCCGTCTGCGGTAGGTGCAGGTTCATTTCGTCTCCGTCAAAGTCAGCGTTGTAAGGCGCACAGACGCACTCGTTGAACCTGTAAAGGCAGTAGAGGATGGTTCACATGGGACGGCTTGGAATCTGGCACATATTGGGCAAGGTTATGACTGCAGTAACTTGTTGTTACAACAATTTAGAGCATGTTGACATGGGATGATGTTCAAACTGAGATGGTTAGCTATGGGCGTAAAATGGCCTTCGTAGTCGGCACGCCCTAAAGCCCAAATAAACAAGCAAATGGGATGGTTAGCTAAGGTCAATTCGGCACAGTCCCACAAGGTTCAAACCCCGTTCCCGTTTCTGTAACTGAAAGTGCAATGCTGGGGAACCTTGACCTGAAAGTAAGCTCCCCAAAAGGTTATGCCTTATCCCCTTTACCTGAAGGTACGAAGCTGAATCACCTCGACCTATAAGTTAGGCCATCAATAGACGAGGTCTTATTCCCGTACCTGAAGGTGCGGTGCTGGAGGACCTTGGCCTGGTGGCTCATGATGGACAGCTTGTGCAGGGACGGCTGTCGGTTGAAGAGTACCACATCTCCATCCAGCAGGTGGCGCTCCACCGTGTCACCCGGCTGCGGGTGAGGGGACGGAGGGGTAAGTAGAATGGCGATCATACTTGTGACGGACTTAGAATTGTGACGCCGTCATAATCGTGCATCAATGCCTTGCTACATCAGCGAGTCAAGCAAGAGTGCGGGATGGTTAAGATATTCACTCGTTATTACAAATAAATGCGTTGTTGCCTTTCGTTTCGTTTCCATCGCCTCAATCAAGCATCACGGCTTCATACGTTTATATTTGATTATGAAATGACAATAAAAACACCCGTGGTGAACAGTTGCCATCTACCCATAGACCTAGAAATCTAGCCAGCCTGAGGCCTTCCCACAGAAGCGTGGGATACCGAACTCACCCTCAGCTCCTGTGCGATTTTCTGCCGGTTGCCGAACTTAAGAAACTTCTTCAGACCCGTTCCGCGCTGTTCCACGAAGTTGGCGCCTGTAATGTTAATAAAGCTGCGTAAGTACAGTGTAAGGTCGACTTCAGAAGTGAAAGTAGTTGGAACTTGCAAACCCAACAATTAAAGACAGAAGTTTTTTCTTCAAGCATTCCTTCATCCACCGTCTTTTTAACCCGCGCCCTGCTGGGGGGGGTGTTTGAACACCCCCCTTGTGGTTTTTTGCGAATATCTCAAAAACGGCGGCGCGGAGCGCCGCCGTTTTTGGTACACCTTATCATACATCAATTCTACACATGTTGTGAAAATTTCAGACCTAGGTCATTTAAGGTCAGGTCACCAGGTCACTTGAAGTGACCTCACCTCATAAAAAGTTTCAATGTCTGTCATAGCTACACCGAATGACCGATCGCTTTGAAACTTTCAGCGATTGCTAAGAGCAATAGCATGTACAAAATGTATATCTCAGAATTTTGATATCGATGACCTAAGGTCAGGTCAATTTTGCGACCTCCCCATTATAAGTCAATGGGATAAAATTGAAATGCGCCTCTTTTGGACGAAAGACATTATAAACACTCCCAAACACCGAATTACAAGTGGATTAGACACACTGAACATGAAAATGGTGTCCGTGACCCTTGTGTATGCCCTGAGGTCATCTTAGGTCACGAATGGTATCTAACAGTTTTTCGCAAATAACTTTTGATAGGGGCATGCTAGAGCGATGAAAACGCCTTAGATGTGTTCAGCTCGACGATACGGATCGACTGATATGCAACATGACCCTTTCCGGTCAGGTCATGACCTTGACCTGAGGTCAAATTTTCAAGTTGACCTTTCAAGGTCAAATTATAGTTCATTCGATGCGTCTTGACGAGAGGAACACGATGCCGGTAAAAGTAAGCTCGTACAGGGCTTGGGTCAAAAGTTATTGCAGAAAAACTGTTTCCGAAAAAATCGGCTATTTTTGCAGTTTTTGCCCCCTGCAGGCAAAACCGTTGACGTTAGGTCAAATCTGAGAGAATTACTCAGAAAGGGCGTTAATAGGGCTATCGAATGCGCTTTTCCACGGCGCTGTAGCTCTATTGGTTCCCGAGTTATGCGTTGGCTTCTTGGAAATTTTCGACATTCGACCTGGAAATCGGCGAAATTTTGCCTTCAATGACCTCTGGTGACCTGACCTTTGACCTGACCAAAAAATTGACCGAAGTGATTTCGTCATTATTTTTGACGCTCTTTCGAACGCCGCCTTCCGCGTATCGCTACGTGGCCCAGGAGACGAGTTACAAGGGGGGGGGGGGGTGTTCAAACACCCCCCCCCCAGCAGGGCGTGGAAATCCAGGACCCCCAGCCAACCCACCGTCCGCCGCCACAGCTGTACACAATACATCAATAAACGAAACACACCATCCAATCAATACACAGTACAATACAAAACCCAATCAATACACACAACACACCATCCAATCCGCACCCACCGACCTCCCTATTCATCCACTCTTCTCTTCCACCAGAGCCAACCTTTCCGTCCACCGCACACCACTCCTTCTCACCGTCTTTACACCGTTTCTCCCGTCCCGTTCTTTACCCGTTCAGCTGTTTCGTCACCGTACAGCACTCCTTTCCCCCGTTCTTCCCCGTCCTGTCATTCTTTCTCCGTTCTTTTGCGTCACCGTACACCATTCCTTCTCAGTTCTCACCGTCTTTCCCCGTTGTCATTCTTTCCCCGTTCAGTTGTTCTGTCCCCGGACGGTTCTTCCCAGTCCCGCCATTCTTTCCCCGTTCTTTTCCGTCACCGCCCATCCTTCCTTTTCGCCGTCTTCCCACCTGTTTTCCCCCTTTCTCCCCCCCCCTCACCGGGGTGCGTGTCCGCTCCATTGACCACCAGAGATCTGAGCAGCTGCAGGTTGTGTTCGGTAACTTTCTCTGGGTAGGTGAGCACCTTGGCCACGTGTTCAGGTACTCCCACCTGAGAAAAGGGAGGTTGGTGGTGACTGGCCAGATAAACGTCAGTGAACTACAGGGTAGTGACAGAACTTTAGTACTGCAGTGGTCTGTTTGCCAAAGCTGTTAGCTCTGATTCACGCCTGACTGTCAAGAAGACTTAGCATTGCAGAATGGCAGAACAGGCTGCTAAAACTGCCCATGCCCTTTAGGCATATCTACCCCGCATTGGCTAAATCAAACTGAATCGAACACAAGAAGCATGTATTAAACCCGACATTCTTAACTTAAGGTCTTCCCATTATTTAGAAACCTAAAATAACAGAATGCTGAAACTGCGGTCGTCACTCGTCACATTGCCTATAATTGCGCTACCTGGTGATTAGCATCTTCACCACGAGGCCAGGCAGTCAGCTCTACCTGGTGATTACCTGGTTATCGGTAATCACCATATTACCTGGTTATTGAGGACAGGCTCGCCCATTACATATTGTGTACTTGATAGTCCATTGTTTATTTGTAAATTACCTGATGTATCCTTAGGTTGGGGTCGGGCGAGATGACAGTTCGACTGCTGAAGTCGACCCGTTTCCGCTGAGGTTGCCCCGAAACCGGCCCTGTTTTCCTTTCAGTCGCTGTACCAGGCCGCGGGTGGGCTTCTTCGGCTGGGGGAGAGTAGGGGACAGTTATAGTCACAGACAGTTGAGATAAATCATGCAGACCTAGCCTAGCCTACATCAATGTTGAATGCAACGGCCGGCATGTCTTTTGTCTGCCTACACTTTAAAAACGACAACTTTAATTCAATTACATGCTGACTGTAGTTGCAGGTCGATGAACATAACCACTACCTTGATAAGCGAAATGACAATGCTCAATTACACTAGCGGATAAAATTGTAGCCTAGCATGCTTATCAGAATCACATTATTTACCAACATGTTTAGCTGGACGATGGTATTGTTAACTAGCTTTTTCACCAGCCTTCCACGTCTAGCTTTAACTTTTACTAGCACCTTCCACATCATCTTCTTCAATAACACCTTCCGACATTTCTAGCGCCTTCACCATGTTTACCTGCATGTTGAGCGGGATGCCGGACATCTCTCCGTTGATGTAGAGCGCACACTGCAGCTGCAGAAAGTCCCAGTCCTCCTGGATCATCTGAACGCGAGCCCCTGACTCGCGGTGTTTGCTGATAACGTCGTTCAGGAACACAATCTCAGTGAGCTTCATAGTCAGATCGTCCTCGTTTCTGTAGAGAGGAAGAGAGGGGGATGGTGGAAAGTGAAAGGGGATAGTGGTGATTTCTGTAAATTGGAGGCGTATCACATAGTTTTCCTGATAACCGATGAGGGAGTAAAGAAAATTGCATTCCGGAAATTTAATAGAAATGCCACGTTAATCGATCATCTTCGATGTATTTCGTCTAACATTGCTTTCATCCACATCTATATTACTATTTGAGGAGGGCGTAGTTTCTGTCTATTACGAAGGTCGCGACATGGTGCTACGTAGCGCGGGTTACCAAATTTGCCCGACACGGGTCCGGTCCCGGTGCAATATCTCGGTAACCGTGGGCCCGACCGGTACGGGGAAAACAGCATCGTGTAGAGAATCGAACGGGCTATCGAATGGTGTGCGGTGCAGGGGTTGGCACGCGCCACGTGCACCGGGGAGGACACTTTCTTTTGAAAAATGGACGTTTTGGACGGATTTGGGAATTTATATTAATTTCAGGTGATCGTCAGACGGAATGAGTTGAAACAGCGCCTATTAGCAATAAAAATATACCGTCTCTCATGGAAAAATTGTGAAAAGCTAATTGATCAAAAACAATGTGGAAAAAATCGCTGAATTAAATGGTATTTGTCCAAAATGTGCCACTAAATAATTACACGGATTTTGCTGCTTAACCTGATACGTTTGACAATTGAAAATGCTATCATTGGAAAGAGCATTCAATTCTCTCCAAGATCCAATCATCACGTTTGCATGACAAGCAACATTATTCTTAAAAATATAAATGTTTCAAACCTCTGCAAAACGATTTTTAGCGAAAATTATCTACGCCTTTCATTTGTCTTAAAACTACGCACCTCAATTATAAAGCACATTTTGAGAAGTATGCGCATCTGGCTGACCTTATCCTCACTTCTGTATGGAAATATGAAATTGCCAAAATAAATTACTGTATTAAAAGTCGAGATATTTCGAGCACAGCTCTTCGTCGGTCGATTGTAATTATTTACACACATAACAGGCACACAATGTCGAATTCGTCTCAAGTTCTTCAGTAATGTCGCAGTAAGAAATTTAAATACACAGATCCCGTGCAAATTGATCACCCTAGTTCCTACCTTAAAAATATATCTACACATAATTCCCCAGTTAAACTAGCAGTACATATATAGGTATCTTTCAAGAACCAATTCACACACATTTATATACATTATTTTGGAAGAAGCTGCCATGATGTAGTGTTATCGTTAATTTTGGGCCTGGCGTCTCGGATGAAGATGGATTCAGCGATTCTTCTATCCGCTTCGTCTTTGCATACACGCAGGATTTTGGCCGTCACCGAGATGTCGCGTCGATCCATCTCAGGGTGCTTATGCAGCGCATGCTCTCCTAGGGGAGTGTCCTCTTCTCTGTTAATGCCGTTCCTCCGATGCTCGTTGTAGCGGAGTCTAACTGGCCTGCTCGTTTCTCCGATGTAGGTGTCGCCGCAGTGACTGCAGGTAAGTTCATATACCACGTTTTTGGTCGTGCACTTGGACTGTAGCCCCGCCTGGCATGAATGACAGCACCTTCGTCCCGAGGGGCAGGGGGCTGGGTTCAGTCGTGTCTTGACCAGTCGTTTCTTCAGGGTGTTGTTGGTGGTCCATGCTATCTCCACTGGTAATCCAGAGTTGATTGCAACCTTCTTCACCTGAGCAGCCACCTTGTCATTAACGAAGGGCAGTCGGATATATGTGCCTTGCTTCTTCTTGTTCTGTTGTCGCTGATCTGGCCGTTCCCGTCGTTCTCTTCCTCTGTCTCTGCTTCTCTCCTCATGTTTCTTCATTTCCCTCCAACTGTACTCCTTGATCATCTTCATCGGATATCCATTACTGACAAACAGATGACGTATCTTCTCGAGCCCTCTTTTTCTTGCCGCTGTGTCTGAGCCAAGACGGATCGCCCTAGTGATCTGTGATGTGAGCACAGCCTTCTTTGTAGACCTGGCATGTGCCGAGTCATACGGCAGAATGATCGGTGCCGCCATGGGCTTGAAATACAGCTCAAATACAATACAAAATTGAGCTGTATTTCAAGCCCATGGCGGCACCGATCATTCTGCCGTATGACTCGGCACATGCCAGGTCTACAAAGAAGGCTGTGCTCACATCACAGATCACTAGGGCGATCCGTCTTGGCTCAGACACAGCGGCAAGAAAAAGAGGGCTCGAGAAGATACGTCATCTGTTTGTCAGTAATGGATATCCGATGAAGATGATCAAGGAGTACAGTTGGAGGGAAATGAAGAAACATGAGGAGAGAAGCAGAGACAGAGGAAGAGAACGACGGGAACGGCCAGATCAGCGACAACAGAACAAGAAGAAGCAAGGCACATATATCCGACTGCCCTTCGTTAATGACAAGGTGGCTGCTCAGGTGAAGAAGGTTGCAATCAACTCTGGATTACCAGTGGAGATAGCATGGACCACCAACAACACCCTGAAGAAACGACTGGTCAAGACACGACTGAACCCAGCCCCCTGCCCCTCGGGACGAAGGTGCTGTCATTCATGCCAGGCGGGGCTACAGTCCAAGTGCACGACCAAAAACGTGGTATATGAACTTACCTGCAGTCACTGCGGCGACACCTACATCGGAGAAACGAGCAGGCCAGTTAGACTCCGCTACAACGAGCATCGGAGGAACGGCATTAACAGAGAAGAGGACACTCCCCTAGGAGAGCATGCGCTGCATAAGCACCCTGAGATGGATCGACGCGACATCTCGGTGACGGCCAAAATCCTGCGTGTATGCAAAGACGAAGCGGATAGAAGAATCGCTGAATCCATCTTCATCCGAGACGCCAGGCCCAAAATTAACGATAACACTACATCATGGCAGCTTCTTCCAAAATAATGTATATAAATGTGTGTGAATTGGTTCTTGAAAGATACCTATATATGTACTGCTAGTTTAACTGGGGAATTATGTGTAGATATATTTTTAAGGTAGGAACTAGGGTGATCAATTTGCACGGGATCTGTGTATTTAAATTTCTTACTGCGACATTACTGAAGAACTTGAGACGAATTCGACATTGTGTGCCTGTTATGTGTGTAAATAATTACAATCGACCGACGAAGAGCTGTGCTCGAAATATCTCGACTTTTAATACAGTAATTTATTTTGGCAATTTCATATTTCCATACAGAAGTGAGGATAAGGTCAGCCAGATGCGCATACTTCTCATGATGATATTCCTCAGAACGCTTAACCACTTACGATAAAGCACATTTGACAGATTCTGAAGTGGAAAGCATGCTTATCAGACACGGGCACCTCGATGCGGTGGATATTTTTTCCACAAACCAAAACGTTCAGCCGTCAAAAAGCAATCGACCGAAATGGATAGATAACGCAACCGACACAAGAACAACCGAACACCCGCCGATCGAAAATATCCCTTTTCGCGTTGCGGAGCACGCGGGTCACCCTAGTCATCACTATTGTCAATCACCAAGAACACAATCAATATTGTTATAAGCCTGGCACCTCTCCAATGTCGAGCAAGCAAGTTTGACTGACACATTGGCCATCGCACTTCCCCATAACTATTTAAATAACTCCTTTAAGAAGAAACTGATAGCTTCCACCTCCTCGCTCATCTGAAAGGTAGCGTTCCACCAATACTCACGACTCTACATGTTAGCGTTCCGGCGCTATCCAAGTCATACCCTCTAAGTTATCGTTCCAGCGCTACCCACGACCCACCCTCTAAGTTATCGTTCCGTCACTACTCACGTGCCGGCCTTGAGGTCAGATACGACGGACGGCCGGATACAGAGAGGTGGCACAGGAATCCGAGTGAGCAGCAGCTCCGTGGGACGGCTCAGAGTGCCTGGAAATAGAGAAATGGGTCAGTAGGGGAGTTATAAGACGGGGTATATCACACAATATGACAGTCGCAGCAGCTCCGTGGGACGGCTCTGAGTGCCTGGGAATACAGCGTACTGGGTCAGAAAAGGGAGGATATAAGACGGGGTAAATCACACATGAAAGCAGTACTATGGGACGGCTCAGCGTGCCTGGAAATACAGCGTAATGGGTCAGAAAAGGGATATATAAGGCGGGGTATATCACACAATATAACAGCAGCTCCGTGGGACGACTCAGGGTGCCTGGAGATAGAGTGTAATGGGTCAGAAAAGGGAGGATATAAGACGGGGTAAATCACACATGAAAGCAGTACTATGGGACGGCTCAGCGTGCCTGGAAATACAGCGTAATGGGTCAGAAAAGGGATATATAAGGCGGGGTATATCACACAATATAACAGCAGCTCCGTGGGACGACTCAGGGTGCCTGGAGATAGAGTGTAATGGGTCAGAAAAGGGAGGATATAAGACGGGGTAAATCACACATGAAAGCAGTACTATGGGACGGCTCAGCGTGCCTGGAAATACAGCGTAATGGGTCAGAAAAGGGATATATAAGGCGGGGTATATCACACAATATAACAGCAGCTCCGTGGGACGACTCAGGGTGCCTGGAGATAGAGTGTAATGGGTCAGAAAAGGGAGGATATAAGACGGGGTAAATCACACATGAAAGCAGTACTATGGGACGGCTCAGCGTGCCTGGAAATACAGCGTAATGGGTCAGAAAAGGGATATATAAGGCGGGGTATATCACACAATATAACAGCAGCTCCGTGGGACGACTCAGGGTGCCTGGAGATAGAGTGTAATGGGTCAGAAAAGGGAGGATATAAGACGGGGTAAATCACACATGAAAGCAGTACTATGGGACGGCTCAGCGTGCCTGGAAATACAGCGTAATGGGTCAGAAAAGGGATATATAAGGCGGGGTATATCACACAATATAACAGCAGCTCCGTGGGACGACTCAGGGTGCCTGGAGATAGAGTGTAATGGGTCAGAAAAGGGAGTAATAAGGCGGGGTATATCACACATGACAGTCGTAGCTCCGTGGGACGACTCAGACAGTGTCTGGAAATACAGCTTTATACCTACTATAACTATTTAGCGAAAATAGCGAAATAGCGTAAAAATGCAGGTCAGTAAAGGGAGTTTATTATAAGACGGGGTAAATCACACATGACAGTCGCAGATCCGTGGGACGGCTCTGAATGCCAGGAGACACAGTGTGCTAAGTCAGCTAGGAGAGTTATAAGGCGGCGTAGATCACACAAAACAGCAGCTCCATGGGACAGCTCGAGTGCCTTGAGAGACAGCGTAATGGGCCAGAAAAGGGAGCAATACGACAGCGTAAAGACGGAGTTATAAGACGGCATTTATAAGACGGAGTATAGACAGAGAAAATGAGAAAAAACAACAGTTCCGTGGGATCATGGTTCAGCATGTCTAGAGACACAACTGCAGTGTGGGTTAGACGCTATAAGTATTAAGTAATTGGCGCGATAGACATTACACGTTAAGTAAGACGTAAGAGAGGGAATGGTGAATAGGCTGATCAGCTAAAGAAGAGGCCACAACAGAAGAATTGTGTAAAGCTCCACAACGACAAACAGTGATTACAGCAAAAAGACGTGACAACGACCGAAGGTCGAGCCCGTGAGTATCCTCCCCCGGCCCCCTGTAATATAGTATTATCCACTCCCATGCGCCACCACCAATGCTAACCCTTCCACCCACCCCCTGTCCCCCCTCCCTCTCTCTCCACACCCTCCCCTCTCACCCGACATGAGCAGAAGCGGCAGGTCCGTCTCAGGAATTCTTTGAAACAGCCTCTGTACGTCCAGAGGAGTGAGGTTCAGAGGAACGCCGGGCGTCAGACGCGACTCCAGGTCACGGTTCGTCTCGAACGCGGACTTGAACTCCTCTGTGGGAAGAGAGAGAGAGAGAGAGAGAGAGAGAGAGAGAGAGAGAGAGAGAGAGAGAGAGAGAGAGAGAGAGAGAGAGAGAGAGAGAGAGAGAGAGAGAGAGGGAGAGAGGGAGAGAGGGAGAGAGGGAGAGAGGGAGAGAGGGAGAGAGAGAGAGAGAGAGGGAGAGAGAGGGGGGAAGAAGGGGGTAAGAGTGGGGAGGAGCCAGAGTATGGACCACGACACAATAATATACATAATGGTTTGATGGAAGATCAACTAGCAACTAAGCAAACACAATATGAAAAATGTAACAGTAAAGGCCTGGCTACACTATGCGTTTTCTGCGTGCGTTTTTTGCGTAACATTGATCTAGAAAAAAGTTATAAATAATATAATTTTTACATTAGTTGTGTATTAGTTATATACAAAAGTTAATATAACTCTTATATTAACTCAAATTTAATATGAAAATCATCACAAAAACGTTCTATCGTTTCTTTTTCTAGAACGATATTACGCAAAACACGCAAACCCGCAAACAGCGCACGCAGAAAACGCATGGTGTAGCCAGGCCTTTAAAGTCAAGCAGCTTGCATTCAAACAAACGCTGCTGGAATAGGTAACTTTTTCCCTGAGATCTTCCTATTGCAGATGGACTTAGTGCTAACTAAAGCCAGCCTTATGGATTAGTTGGAAATTCCAAAAGAATAGAACTACCCTTGGCCACGAGACCAACTAGGTATACCCAAGGCCATATATAGGGGTATACCTACATCCGCCTCTGCGGTATTTATGGCGACCTCAGGCCAAAACGAAATAGGTCGCCCTCCCGTTGTAACCCAGCCATACGGCGCAGCAGCTACCCACCGACGTAGGCCTGCATGATGGGGTCATCCTTCTTCACCTTCCGGTAGAGGTCGTGGCTGATCTTCAGCATCCCAGACTTCTTCACCACGCCGTTCAGCGCCTGACACGACGGACATCTGGCGGCGGACGAGAGAACTATAAGTACCGAGACAGGAACAGATGACGCCCTATACCAATACGAGCACACTCGCGCGACGGGGTAACCGGACAAAAGATCGTAAAGCAGAAGATCGTATGGCAGAAGATCGTAGGCAGTTGATCGTATGCAAAATATCGTAATGGATAAAGATCGTACGACATAATGCTCGTATGGACAAAAGATCGTATTCGCTAAAGATCGTCAAGGAAAATGTTCGTATGCCAAAAAGTCGTAATGGATAAAGATCGTACGACATAATGATCGTATGGACAAAAGATCGTATTCGCTAAAGATCGTCAAGGAAAATGATCGTATGCCAAAAAGTCGTAATGGATAAAGATCGCACGACATAATGCTCGTATGGACAAAAGATCGTATTCGCTAAAGATCGTCAAGGAAAATGATCGTACGCCAAATGATCGTATGAGATAAAGATCGTACAGTCAAACTATGGTATTCACATGGTGCAGCTCAACTCCAGCGCATACAAAGCTTATCAATTTCTGTGTTCGCGTAGTAAGTGGCCGTCGTAAGCTCGACGATACATTGATGTTATTTCAGAGCTTAGATGGCTCAATGACACCTAAAAGCAACGCGTTGTATATGTGCCGAGTAAATGAATGTATGTGCTGCCGTTTTCATGTACCTATTTGAAGTGAATACAACTAAACCCATGTTCCCCCCCCACCCCACCCCCCACCGCCTGGAAGGTTAAAATGTTGCTTAAGCGGCTGAAGTAAACGGCGTTAAAAATACTTTTTCCTTCGCACTGTTACATTTTCATATTGAATCGTCATCGCTTTACGAGTCATCAACAGATGTTTATCGCGTTATCACTATCGAAGTCGCAATTCTCCTAGTTATAGGATCCTAGTTTCAATTCAATCCTAGTTTTAGGAGTCATTGTTATCGAAGGCCGGTTAAAGACGTCAATTGTCCATCATTGGTTGGAAATCGCCCCAGTAATTACCGAGTTACTGAAATGGGAACAAACTAGGGTGACCCGCGTGCTCCGCAACGCGAAAAGGGATATTTTCGATCGGCGGGTGTTCGGTTGTTCTTGTGTCGGTTGGGTTATCTATCCATTTCGGTCGATTGCTTTTTGACGGCTAAACGTTTTGGTTTGTGGAAAAAATATCCACCGCATCGAGGTGCCCGTGTCTGATAAGCATGCTTTCCACTTCAGAATCTGTCAAATGTGCTTTATAATTTAGGCGCGTAGTTTTATGACAAATTTAAGGCGTAGATAATTTTCACTAAAAATCGTTTTGCAGCTCGGTTTGAAACATTTATATTTTTAAGAATACTGTTGCTTGTCATGCAAACGTGATGATTGGATCTTGGAGAGAATTGAATGCTCTTTCCAATGATAGCATTTTCAATTGTCAAACGTATCAGGTTAAGCAGCAAAATCCGTGTAATTATTTAGTGGCACATTTTGGACAAATACCATTTAATTCAGCGATTTTTTCCACAATGTTTTTGATCAATTAGCTTTTCACAATTTTTCCATGAGAGACGGTACATTTTTATTGCTAATAGGCGCTGTTTCAACTCATTCCGTCTGACGATCACCTGAAATTAATATAAATTCCAAAATCCGTCCAAAACGTCCATTTTTCAAAAGAAAGTGTCCTCCCCGGTGCACGTGGCGCGTGCCAACCCCTGCACCGCACACCATTCGATAGCCCGTTCGATTCTCTACACGATGCTGTTTTCCCCGTACCGGTCGGACCCACGGTTACCGAGATATTGCACGGGAAACGGACCCGTGTCGGGCAAATTAAGCCATTTTCGCCCGCTTTTGCAAGCCGATTAATACATGTGAAGTCTATGACGCGAATTTGCACTTTTTGGGCCCGCGCCACGCGCTCGCAATAGACCCGATCGAGCCGAGACCGCTCAAAGGCACGTTGTCCATCCTTGTTCTATAAGTTGCGCAAATTTCAGCGCGGTAGGTGCAACGGTGTGACCTGTAACCCGCGCTACGTAGCACCATGTCGCGACCTTCGTAATAGACAGAAACTACGTCACCACAAATAGTAATATAGATTTGGCACCTCTTATTTTGTATTTTGCACGTGCATTGGGGGTCACTCACATAGATCAAGGGTATCCGACCTTTGGTAGAAGGGATGCAGCTACCCTATAAAAATTACCGCAAGACAATCGCTCAAGCCGCTGCTGAGATATGGGCCTCTCAAAATCATTACTTTTGCAAAACTGCTTGAACACCCTTGACTTTTCACGTGGCACGTGCCACGACGGCCACTGAGATGTATCAAAAGTAGTCAATTACGGGGAAGAAGGGATGGGGCTACCCAGCAAAAAAGACCGCAGGCCAATCGGTTCATGCTGAAATATAAGCCTCTCAAAAGCGTTACAGGCCGGGCCGGACCGGGCCGGGCCGCTCATACTGAGATTTTCCCGTTACATTCAAAAGACTTCGCTTCGCTCGCTGCGCTTGTAGCCCCTGCATGTACCGCCGGTCACCGCTAGGCGCGTTTACTTCCGCCGGTCACCACTAGATGCTGTGAACCGCTAGTTACAGTTTTGTTAATAGGTGTCGCTTTTACCAGTCTCTAAATTGCTAAAGCCTTTGATTAAGTTGTGCGCCCCCCTTTTTAACGTTCCGTTCGCTTAAACTGCTGTATTGTTTGGACAATTGTATTGGCAATGTGTATATTGAAAACCATATGTATTCGTTTATTACATTCGATGTTCTCGCCACATGTGTGCAATACTAGATAACTAAGTTCGTATGTAAAACTATATATGTCTCGATTTTGTGGCGAAATACAAGAGATATCTGTATGTTACAGTGTTTCTACTGGCTACACCAGCCAGATTGGTGACCCCGCGTTCTGCGCACTAAGGGATCGCTATCCCCTCGTGTTCCCTGGCACACCGACACTGGCCTGCACCCTGAGCTATCTCCTCCAGCTCTCTTTGTGTAGGAAGGAAGTGGCGGATGGTGTGTCTCCACGAGGATCCTTATTTTGTGCTGTGTGGAACTGGATAACGCCGACTACTACTGCTGCACTAAGGACCAGCTACTTCATCGGCTCATCTTACCGAACGGCTACCTCTGCAGCTGCACCGCAGCACCTGCCGATCGCCGGATCGCCGTCGCCGCCACCGATCTTCCCGACCATTGCTCTCGGCAGCCATGGACCAGAAGACCCAGCCTGCCGGCGCCGGTGCAGCCGCCGGAACCGGTGCAGCCGCCGGCGCCGGTGCAGCCGCCGCCGCCGCCTCGCATGCCGCTGCTGCTGCTGCTGCCGCTGCCGCCCAACCGGACTACCTCCGCGTGGCGACCGCGCCACGCAGCCACGTCGCGCCGCCGCGCTTCTTCGAGGAGGACCCCGTGATCTGGCTCGTCCAGCTCGACCTCTTCTTCTCTCAGGCAGCTGTGGACGATGAGCTCAGCCGCTTCCGGATCGCCGCTACTCTCCTTCCTGGCCACCTCCTGCGCGACTTCACCGACATCCTCCGCAACCCTCCTCAAGACCGACCTTACACCATCCTTTCCGACGCCATCCGTCAGCGGTTCGGCAAATCAGTCGAACAGCGTCTTCGCTGCCTGCTCTCTGGCCAACAACTCGGCGACAGGCGTCCTTCCCAATTCCTTCGGCATCTCCTGGACCTTGCTGAAGCTGAAGGCTCACAAGATTCCCCGCTCATCCGTCAGATCTTCCTCAATGCTCTTCCGCCTCGGACTCAGCCCTTCCTCCAGTGCCTGCCGCCTGGGACGGACCTTGCGACCATCGCTAGCACTGCCGACCGACTCCTGGAGCTTCCGCAGCAGTCGGACGTCGCTGCACCTACCTCAGGCCTTCTCGCCGCGGTATCGACTTCTGCGCCTGCTGCAGCCTCACCTGCTGCTCCTGCAGGACCCTTCCACCTCCAAGACCTGATGAGTCAGCTGCTGACTGGTATCACGGCCCTCACAACATCAGTCGCCACACTGGTGGACGAGACGCGCCGCCGAGAGAGGTCTGCATCCCGTGCCCCCGGCCGCGCTCGCCACCGTCCACCACGCGACCTGTCTGCTGCTGCCCGGTCACCCAGCCCTGCAACCAGCACATCTACCGGCGCTGGTGCTTCCTTCTGCTGGTACCACCACAAGTTCGGTACCAACGCGCGCTCATGTCAGTCACCGTGCTCGTGGTCTGCAACCGCAACTCCGACCTCGGGAAACCAGCAGTAGGACAGGTGACACAGACGTCTACACCTGCCCTGCTCAACTCTGACGTCCCTCCAGCCAGCGGCCTTCTGAGACTCAAGGACAACAACACTGGCATCACCTTCCTCATCGACACTGGAGCCGAGTACAGTGTTCTTCCAGCGACACCCACCGATCGTGCTCGCGGAACCAACGGTCTGGATCTGCAAGCAGCCAACAACAGCAGCATCCAGACCTATGGTCAGCGCATGCTCACGCTTTCTCTCGGCCTCAGAAGAGATTTCAACTGGATCTTCATCATCGCGGACGTCTCCCATCCTCTCCTAGGAGCCGACTTCCTCTCCTCGTATGATCTCCTCGTCGACACCAAGAGAGGCCGTCTCATCGACCACCTAACTGAGTTGTCTTCACCTGCTTCCCACTCTTCAGTGCCATCCACCGGACTGACAGCCGTCGTCGGAACCGACAACCCAGCATTCCTTAACCTCCTTCGAGAATTCCCCAGCCTCACCCAGCCGTCACATCATCCGGAGCCACAGCACTCAGTACGACATCACATCGAGACCACCGGCCCTCCAGTCTTCTGCCGCCCACGCCGTCTGGATCCAGCTCGACTCGCCACTGCCAAGGCAGAGTTCCAGCGCCTTCTCAGCCTCGGAGTCATCCGACCCAGCAGCAGTCGGTATGCATCACCGCTGCACATGGTGCCCAAGTCGTCTGGAGATTGGAGACCCTGTGGTGATTACCGTGCACTGAACCGCATCACAGTGCCTGACCGGTACCCACTACCACATCTCCACGACTTCACTGCCTGCCTCGCTGGGACATCGATCTACTCTCGGCTCGACCTCGTCAGGGCCTTCAACCAGATACCGATGGCCCCAGAAGACATCGCCAAGACAGCGATCACAACGCCCTTCGGCGCCTTCGAGTTCCTCCGTATGCCGTACGGTCTCCGGAACTGCGCCCAGACCTTCCAACGGTTCATGGATCACATCCTCCGTGGCCTGGACTTCGCCTTCGTCTATGTAGACGACATCCTCATCGCCAGCAGCAGCATCTCGGAACACCTGTCACACCTCCGAGAGGTCTTCAGCCGTCTTTCCCGCAACGGTGTGCTCCTCAACCCATCGAAGTGCGCCTTCGGCATGGAAAGCATCTCCTACCTCGGCCACCAGATCTCCAGCGGAGGCATCACTCCTCTCGACGATCGAGTCAGCGCGATCAAGAACTTCGACCGTCCAGAGTCAAAGAAGAGCCTCAAGAAGTTCCTGGGGATGATCAACTTCTATCACCGCTTCATCCCACACGCTGCTGCTCTTCTGGCACCTCTCCACGGCCTGACTGCCTCAGACGACCGAGCTGCTTCAGTCACGTGGACCCCAGAGGCAGACGCCGCCTTCTCTGCAGCCAAAGTCGCCCTCGCTGACGTCACCCAGCTCGCTCATCCCGTCAAAGATGCAGCTCTGAGCCTCAGCACTGACGCCAGCAGCACGGCAGCCGGCGCCGTGCTCCACCAGCGAGTTGGTGGTTCTCTCCAGCCTCTCGCCTTCTTCTCGCGCAAGTTCACGCCCACCCAACGCCGCTACAGCACCTTTGGACGGGAATTGCTCGCCATGTACCTCGCCGTGCGACATTTCCTGCCCTATCTGGAAGGACGCGACTTCGAGATCCTCACGGACCACAAGCCGCTCGTCTTTGCTCTCAAGGCCAACGGCAACGCCAACCATTCTCTCCGTGAACAACGTCACATGGACCTGATTCTGCAGCACACCAGCAAGATCGGACATGTTCCTGGACATCTCAACCCGGTAGCTGACGCCATCTCACGGATCAGCTCAGTGTCTGCGCCAGCTTCTGCCGCAGCTACACCTTCACCCGGCCTTCTGAGCCTGGCCGACATCGCCCTACACCAAGCCAACGATCCTGACCTGCCGAAGCTGCAACAATCCTCATCTCTGATCATCCGTGACTTCCCAGTCCCTGATCATCCGCATCTACGTCTCTGGTGCGACACCTCAACGGCCACACCTAGACCTGTAGTCCCAGCCAGACTCCGCCCTTCCATCATCAAGAGCTTCCACGACTTGTCTCATCCTGGCATCAACGCTACGCGTCATCTCATCTCATCGAGGTTCATCTGGCCCCACATCAACGCGGACATCCGTGCCTTCGTCCGGAGCTGCCAGCACTGCCAGCGTGCCAAGATCCAGCGCCACACGAAGCCACCCATGGGCAGCTTCCAGCCACCTGACTCTCGCTTCCTGCACATCCACATCGACCTTGTCGGACCACTTCCTCCGTCCCATGGCAACTCCTATCTCCTGACTGTCGTCGACCGCTTCACCCGATGGCCCGAGGCAATTCCTCTGCCCACCATGGACGCCGTCACGGTGGCTCGGCATCTCGTCAGCGGCTGGATCGCCCGCTTCGGAGTACCCGAACTCATCACCACCGACAGAGGATCCCAGTTCGAGTCCCGCCTCTGGACAGAAGTCTCCAAGCTTCTCGGCACCTCTCGGATCCGGACCTGCGCCTACCACCCAGAAGCAAACGGGATGGTAGAGCGCTTCCACCGCCAACTGAAGTCAGCTCTGCGGACCGATGACGACGCCGTCTCCTGGTCGGACCGACTTCCTCTGGTGCTACTCGGAGTGCGCACGACCCTCAAGGAGGATCTCGGATGCACCGCTGCAGACCTAGTCTATGGTTGCAGTCTCCGACTTCCTGGTGACTTCCTCTCCCCCATGTCGTCGGACACTTCTTCTGATCCGGCTTCCCTAGCCTCTCGTCTCCGTGCCGCCATGTCGGAGCTCCGTCCAACTCCTCCTCGTCCTGGCTCCCGCCAAATCTTCATCTCTCAAGACATGCAAACCTGCTCCCACGTCTTCATCCGACGCGATTCGCATCGCTCTCCTTTCCAATACGTCTATGACGGTCCTTATCGTGTCCTATCCCGCGACCAGCACACCGTCACCATCGACCGTCTCGGGCGACGCGACACTGTCACCCTGGCTCGGTGTAAACCGGCCTTCACGGACAACATGCCTGCCGCAACGCCGCCTGCAGCACCGGACGTCCTGGTGAACGACACGCCTACTACGGCGCCAGACAGCTCGGTGGACCGCCCGCCTACAGCACCCAGCCGCTCGGGAGCCCCCGGCGGCTCTAGCCCGTCTCGCCGCGTGCCGCCGGGCCCGCCGCCTGCTTCGCCGCCCCCTCTCCGTCGTTCGTCGCGTCTTCGCCGCCAAACATCTTTTTATGGTGTTTAACTAGGGCGGGGGAGTGATGTAGCCCCTGCATGTACCGCCGGTCACCGCTAGGCGCGTTTACTTCCGCCGGTCACCACTAGATGCTGTGAACCGCTAGTTACAGTTTTGTTAATAGGTGTCGCTTTTACCAGTCTCTAAATTGCTAAAGCCTTTGATTAAGTTGTGCGCCCCCTTTTTAACGTTCCGTTCGCTTAAACTGCTGTATTGTTTGGACAATTGTATTGGCAATGTGTATATTGAAAACCATATGTATTCGTTTATTACATTCGATGTTCTCGCCACATGTGTGCAATACTAGATAACTAAGTTCGTATGTAAAACTATATATGTCTCGATTTTGTGGCGAAATACAAGAGATATCTGTATGTTACAGTGTTTCTACTGGCTACACCAGCCAGACGCTCGCTCGCTCGTAACAACACTATTCTATACGATTATTTACTTTACGAACGTAACGTTACGATCTTTTGTCGAACGATCTTTTACAACATACGATCTTTATCTTACGATCATTTTCCTACGATCTTTTTGTACGATCCATTGCTTTACGATCTTTTGCTTACGATCCTTGGTCGTACGATCTTTTGCGACATACGATATTTATCTTACGATCATTTTCCTACGATCTTTTTCATACGATCAATTGCTTTACGATCCTTTGCTTACGATCTTTTTGTCGTACGATCTTTTACAACATACGATCTTTATCTTACGATCATTTTCGTACGATCTTTTGCATACGATCAATTGCTTTGCGATCTTTTGCTTACGATCTTTTTACCGTACGATCTTTTACAACATACGATCTTTATCTTACGATCATTTTCGTACGATCTTTTTCCATACGATCTTTTGTCTTACGATCTTTTGTCACGTAATCCGCGACGGGGCTCCTAAGCAACTGGGTCAGCATTTACTTGGAATAGCTGGGTTCGCTAAAGATTGACTGCAAGGTATCACCATATTTTAATCATTAAGCACTGTAATGTAGAGATCTTATCTTTTTACAAAGACTTACCCATTACCTTCCCTGTTCATTGCACCCCTCATGCCTGATGGACCCCACTGAAGACCTAGCACAGCAAAACTCAGAAAATTAATTTCAGACTGTACTTACTTGGACATCTTCTTGCATCTCTCCAGGATTTTCTTCCTGAGCGCCTTCTTGGCCAGATAGGAGAGATTTGGGTTGCGGACCTTCTGTAGATAGGAGGCCTTCTCTGCTGGTGGCAGCAGTACGCTCGAACACGTCTGCAAAAGAATAGTTACCTTGATACTATACCAGCATAGGAAAGAGAGCCCAGCTGACATAAGATATCACACCCGGCAAAAGCTGGTTTCTTCTTAGATAAATAGGCTGCATTGATCATCAAAGATCAAAAGCTTAGATTGTACTTCCAGACAACAGCGTCTACCCAGTTTGACTATCCTAGCAACTTCAACCCGTTCCTCAGAGTGTCCTAGGCCCTCCTAACTCAACTGTCTAAAGTTCACTTTCCCTTCCCTCCAGACTGCACCAACGCCTCCCAACCTCCTACCATCCTCCTACCTTGCAGATTGACTGCAGAATCGCCACGGTGGCTCCAAAGTATCCGATATGGAACACGGGCAGCTCGAGGTCCACGTAGCCAAAGTGCCCCACGCAGTCAGCCAGAGTCTGACCACAGGTACTGCAGTTGTTCTCCTTGGAGCTGGTGCCCTGTCGAGAGGACACAGACCAACTGGTAAGTCAAGGAGGTATCAGTTTTATAAATAAAAAGGCATATATGCTACAAAGCTAAAACTGTCAGTGATATTGTCTATCCCTCAGGTCACTCAACCAAAAGAGAACCCAAACGCAACTTCGCTCAAAGTTAACATTGACAATCATATACCTAATACCATCTAATATGTGAAATATGCAACATTCATGTGGCTAATGGCTACCTAACATAGCTCCCTCTCATAACTACAACCTCCTAAACTGTCTACCATCCCCTGTCACCATCTTAATATGTAATAGCGTCTACTACGTAACGCTGCCCCAAACAAATAACATATTTCGTCAGAGACTTTTTCAACGCCCGAATATTTTGAGACGAAACGATACGAACACACAAGAACAAAACTCGTAAGCACAGTAATTTCATAAATCATACCTGTTGTAATATCGCGTGTTTCAAGAGGTATTTCACAAGGTATGAAACTGTACACACTATACTTCATGAAGCTGTGCTTGCTAGCTCTCTGTTCTTGTGTGTTCGCATTGTTTTGTCTCAAGATACTCAAAAAGCATATGTGGTTCTTCCTTTGCACGTCAGTACGGCCCGGTGACACCTACCATGCGCCGATCAAGCACACCATGCTGGACGGGCGTGCGGCCCGGATCCTGGTTGTAGAGGTTCTTGGCCACAACATGCACCAGACCCTGCTGCTGCAGCTGCTGCGACGTCAGAATGCTGAAGCTGATGTCGGAGCTGGAGGAGAGGGAGGGGGAGGGTTAGATACATGGCAGAAGGATGTCAGCAGAAGAGCACTGAATGGTACAAGCTTTAATGGCACCAGTAGAGTAATAGGATACAAAATACATCAATAATCAATGACTTCAAAATGATATCATTTTGAGTTTCATGGACTAATTACAATGTTCGACATGTATAAAATATATGAGCAGACACAAGGAAGTTAGAAATACACTCACATTTTGCGGACAGAGTCCGTTTCTCGATATTGCTCCTTCACCATCGCGAGGCCCGGGGATCACGGCTGTCGAGAAAAACACACATGAGTAAGGAAATACATCAGAACGCATGGGACGACACATTACTGTCACTGGTAATTAGGGGTCTACAGTTTACCAAACACACAGAAGCTGTCTATGCTTGGGCATTGGGCAATTGGCTAACGTAACCACAGCTTTGGTCTCGCATTTCTTCGTAAGCACAAAATCGTACTTGCATGCCTATTTCTTGGCATCCAGATTCCAGTTGCAAAAGTCTGGGTTCGAGTAGAGGTGGGAAATCATTGTTTATGAGGCTCTGGACCGGTATGGGCGTGCTTGGAAGCAGGCCATAGCCAGCCGAAGTCGTGAGGGGAACCGGCGTTGGTTCATTTTCCAGTTCCTGATGTTTGAAGATTTATGGTTTCGTAATATTCCACAAAATTTTCCACATTTTTCCTAGCACATGTATTCATCAGTCATCTTGACTTTCTCTGCACAAGTGTCAGCTCATTTGTTTGTCTCTGCAAATTGTTGTCCACAAGCGCTCAAGCTTGCTGATCATCTCTGCACATGCTTGTCCAGGGGCCGTATTCACGTCGACTTCGTAAGTCGATTTTCTTTCGTAAGTATAATTTGGTATTCACGTCGACACTTCTCAAGTTTTTATCGATGGAGTTCACGTGATTAAAAAAATTTACTTAAGAAGTAGGTCAAACTTAAGAAAATTCTTACGAAAAAGATCGACGTGAATACGGCCCCAGAATGTCAAGTTTTGAACCCTGAATCTTGATTCTCAAATCAGTGTCCGCTTGTGAATTGTAATGAAGATGAATTGTGAATTTTGATACACAGAGTAGACTTGCACGTAATGAGGGATTCTGAGAAAGCCTATCTTTTTAGAGTTTGTAGCTCCAGTGATGGAGCCATCATGACTGTTGCATCCCAGGGTGTCGAGAAAATCGGGACCCGCTATAACTTCTTGAAGTGAGATTTTATGGCTCAAGATGATCTCCAGAAAAAGCTCATAAGCCAACGGTCATTATCATGGGTCCAGAGGCCAGTTTTACCAACAGAAAAATAGCCGCCTGCCGGAACTTTTGCCTAAAGATCGTTTCACATATGGAGCGTAAACGGTAAAGCCCTACCCGCTTACGAGCCCATCGCGTTTACGCTCCGTATGTGAAGCGGTCTTGAGGCAAAAATTCCGGCAGGCGGTTATTTTTCTGTTGGTAAAACTGGTCTCAGGTCATGATATTTTCCGGGCTGGTAAAAAAAAATGATGGGCTCGAGGGTACAATTTGGTCGAGATCCAATGCCTTTTACGTGAGCTTTTAACGAAAAACCACCCGCCGCCCCTATACGTACAAGGGTTAAATGGGATAAAGCATAGGCGGCGGAACGGGGAGGTCACCGGGGCACCGTGCACCCATTGATTTTTGCATTTTAACATTAGCCCTATGGGCGTTGCATGGAAAGAATGGGACCAAAAGTCGGCAGTGCCCCCCCCCCCCCCCTCCCCTTAATTGAAGGTGTTCCGCATAGACCCGGGAACAGGGGGGGGGCAGCGGGGGCGCTTGCCCCCCAACTTTGGAGCCGAGGGGGCGGCGCCCCCTCAACATTGAGGCAGCGAGAAAAGATCTTTCCTCCCTTTTTCGGACTTCTTTCCTTCTTGTTTCCTTTATACATCAAAACATCAACACACGGCATTTTCCTTGTCATCTGAATGGTTTCTGCTGATACAGGATCGATTTGACATCATCTGCTATTGTCATCCCGCTTTGATTTGGGCCTGACCTTGGCCATAAGTTTGGCAGGCCAGATTTTATACTGCACCAGCTCGAGTCAACTTTGAGAAATACATAACGTACAACGGTGGTAAAATCGTTGCTATAGGTATAACACAGTTTACTCGCTCCGGGTGTGATGGAGGGGTGTGGGGTAATGAGTGCACCGACGTGGCGCCCTCATAGGGCCGGTATAGGATTAAAGTTCAGCGACACTAAGGGCTTGTGTGGTGCCTTCGGTTACCGGTAGCACACTCAGAATCACCGGCGTAGGGCCCTAAGAGCCGCCGGTAAGGGGCCTTTAGAGGCGCTGGTGTGGGGCCGTCATGCAGGTGCCCGTGTGGGCGCTCAGAGGTGCTAGTGTGATTCTCTCAGAGACGCCGATGAGGGTCCTTACAGGCGTTGCTGTGGGCCCTCGCCCCTCATAGACGCTGGTGTGGAGCTGTTACAGACGGGTGTGGGCCGTGGGGCCTTTAGAGCTGCTGACGCGAACTCTCTACAAGCCGGCAGGGGCCTCAGTGACCGGCAAGGGGTCCTTAGGCCGGCAGAAGAAGTCCTGTGGGGTCCTTAGAGACCGGCATGGTACTGTCAGACGCCGGTGGGGCCCTCAGAATCACCGGTGTGGGGCCCTCAAAAGTCACCAGGCCTTTAGATGCGCAGGTGTTGGTTGGGTCCTCAGAGCCGCCGATATAGGGCTTTAATAGGCACTGGTGTAGGCACTCAGAGTTGGGGGTATGAAACCCTCAGAGACGCCGGTGTGGGCCCTCATAAGCGCCGACGAGGGCCCCACAGTTGCCGTTATGGGGCCCTCAGAAAAATAAGTGTGGGACCATCACAGGCGGGAAATGCCCCTAGAACTGGCCCCTCATAGGCCGGTAAGACCTCTCAGAGGCCAGTAACGGGCCTTTAGAGACCACCGAGGTGCCCTTAAAAGCCGCAAGAGGCCCTCAGAAGCCGGCGTGGGGCCCTTATGGAGATCTTAGTGTGGCTATTTAGGGCCCATGAGGTGCTCAAACGAGCCCCATTGGGCCCTTCTGAGTAGAAATATGGCCATCGTTAACCCTCAGCGGTGAAATGGCGCCGCAGGGCCCCTCGGACCCGAGGGTCCCTTTTATCCCGATGGGGGGGGGGGGGTACGTGTCCCCTTAGACCCCTAGCTACGCCACTGTTTCATATGCATCATGTCAGGCATTTTAGGCTCGCCCCCCCAACTTGAAAATCGTTCCCGGGCCCCTGGTGTTCCGCCGCTACTGGGATATAGCTAGAAAAAGTGAAAGAATTAACCATTCATAACATGAAAAACATCGAATACTCACCTTACGCCACTTCCTTCCTTGCTCGCGGACGTCAATGGTCCGTGCCTCAGTGGTCAGTGCAAGTGGCTGCCAACGGCGGCGAATCACAATGCGTGTAATACGTGAGACAAACACTTCTCGGAAATAACACGTTCTGCAAACTATGGGACACTGGCCATTACTTATCACTTCTTTGAGACTTAAGGACTTGGGTGAGAGTTTTTGAGTAACGGACAAAATTTACGCCTATAACCATCCCTCAGTGAAAAAAAGAACGAAACGTTGTCACCTTGGTTGTCACATGGCGCAGCGTAATACAAATACGTGCAGAAAACTGTTCAATACAAACTGCTCATAAAACACCAAGACACAATGAGCCACTTGCAGTGTGAGACTAACTACAAGCAACAGAATTTGCGACTGCCAATTGGTTCTAAAACTGCAAGCATAAAACTTGTGAACAATCGAACAGAGTATTTCTATGGCATGGATCTTGAAAGCGAAACACTAGCGCCAGGAATGTAGCCTATCAAGAATCCTTTTAATATGAAAAATATGAAGGATGGCGGACAACACTATTCAACAGCTATTCTTGCAAATATCGCATTACTTTGCAGTTCTTAGCCTGACCGCAATCAAATTAACCCTTATCAATTTATTACGGCTTATTTCATTGTTGTTATTCCAGAATGGCCTAATTATGCTCAGATTGTCAAGATGCATTCAATGATAGGTATAGGTACCTTATTTTTGACGACACCATGCGCATTGTGCATTGTGCATGGATCCGAGAAAATGGTTCTGGGATCTGAATTCTGATTTTGATCCCTTAAAATGAACTTAAATAGTAGGTACCTATACCTTAATCGCCCGTATTAGGTACCTATACCTTAATCGCTGTTTGCTTATAGTCGTTAGCGACCAGGCATCGGTAAAATCCTTTTTGAAAGGATTGCATTCCCAATCCACATTCCTAGTGCCGAAGTGGATTGCATTCCTACCCGCAATCCCCTTTTTTCACTTGGATTGTGATCAAATCCGCAATCCTTTTTTGCAATCCTGTTGTATTATTATGTGCACTAGTGGATCTGGGGGAGGGAGGGGGCATAGGTCTGTGTCTCCATCCCCAAATTACCCATTTCTAGTACCTAGTCTTGCGAGTAATTCCTATCTAAGGCACAGGTATTTTATGGGAAATATTTTTTGCCTCAAACACCCCCACATTTAAACCTATACCCAACCAGTGTTTTATATTTTTAAAACTCACCCTCAAATACGTAATTTTGCCCTTCCTATGTAGTTCATCAGCGTAGGTATATTATTTTGAGCGTTTAAATTATTTCAAGTTTTGATGTAAAGCCCTTGATAGCAAAGTACATTAAGCCAATGAAGCCGATCTCATAATTTTCAATCGCAACAAACAATTTCAAAGCACTAATCAAACAAAATCCGGATTGGATTGCAAAAATTGGAAGCATGATGCAATCCAATCCGCAATCAAATCCTGTTTTTTGGAATGGATTTCAAATCCAGGTGCAATCCACCAAAAAGGAATGCAATCAGGATTTTGCAATCCTGCAATCACAATCCTACCGATGCCTGTTAGCGACTAGCGTCGCGACGCTTGGTTTCGATATATTGGACGGGAGCCGGGGAGCGGATAACGGGGAGCTATAACTGCCTCAGTTATCCAGGGAGCGGATAACTGCCCCCCCCCCCTTCGTAGGTGGAAAGTTGGCTCTGCGTGGGTTAAACTGCACAGCATTGCATGAGGAACCGAAATTAGAGCTTTAATTTGGAGCAGCTTTTGGGTTGTATGTTGGACGAACCCCGTTCAAGAGCACCATAGGCGGCGGAACGGGGAGGGCACCGGGGCACCGTGTCCCCCTTTGATTTTGGCATTTTAACATTAGCCCTATGGTCGTTACTCGTTGCATGGAAAGACTTGGGACCAAAAGTCGGCAGTGCCCCCCCCCCCCCTTTAATTGAAGGTGTTCCGCCGCTACTGCGTGACCTAAGACCTTTCTGGATCTGCCGGTGAATGTGACAATCCCAGTTGGAATGGGAGGCACCTACAAAATGATTATGTAAATGTATGAGCCAAAACTGATTGCAGCTATTATTATTGGGCAAAAAGACAGTAGCCAAGACAAAAGATGCATTTATTTCAGAGAAGCACAAAAAAACACGCAAGCACGGTCAATATAAATGCATGCTATGGACTTCTGTAGCCCTTTTTGAATAAGTCGGGACAGGGCGACAGCGTCACATGTTTCCTGTCCTGACTCCTACTTTTTGAACGCTTATAACCCTCGCCCTGGCAGGGCATTTTTCATAACACGGCCTGGCAGGGGGGGGGGGGTCGATGCGACCCCCCCTCGCGATTGGCTCCTATGGCACCTAGAAACACCAAATTTGGTAGGTAGGTGGGCCGCCTGGAGTTCTCGCCCCTGTGCAAATTTGGTTGCTCTAGGTTGATATTTAGGGGGGTTTTGAGGGGTATAAATGTAAAAATTTCGCTAAAAACAGGTCAAAAGTTTTTCACTTATAACTTTTGATCTAATTGAGATAAAGCAAAAAGAAAAGCACCAGTGAACTCAGCACGTCAAGGCGCGTCGAATGATATACTTTTTAGCTTGCTTAAGTGTACTTAAAGTTTTCTTAAATTTTAAGTAAACTTTAATTAAGTAATTAAGTTCAAGTTAACCAAATTGCATCATATCGCATATCATTCGATTCGGCTGATCAACAGGAACACAATGATACCATTTTTGAAGCTCTAGCGTCATTATGTGCCAAGGTATTGGCAAAAACGTCATTTCACCTCAGTTGACCTCATTTGACCTGACCCATGGATAAGTACACCAAACAAAGAAGCACCAAGTGACCTGCTGTTAAGTACTGTGGTTTGAAAGCACAAAAGTGATAGAACGAAGCGGATATCTCCAGTATTTTCCGAATTTAGTATTTTCCCATAGGCTTAACATTATGACGTAATGACCTCTAACTGACCTCGGGTCGGTGACATCCAAAAAACCGGAATATATATTATACAACTGGGTGAACTTAGCACATCCTGAAAGTTTGAAGGAAATCGGTCCAAAACTGTGAGTTGGACAGGTGCATAAAGAAAATTGAAATTTGACTATGACCTTGTACCGGTTTTTCTGACCTGGTGACCTGACCCAAGGTCACCCGGACCTGAAACTTTCAGGTCATATGTAAAAAGGTTGCCCCATAGGCTGTGCCAAATAATCAGCGACGCGGGATTTATTTTTCCGATTCCTGAAACGCCATTTAGCCTATAGTTCCAGACAATTTTGAATTTGATATACATTTCAGAACGTTTATTTTATTCGCGATCAAGTTATAACTATGAATGCGTTGGACGTTCGCATTCGCCTCCAACGTTTTATATACCTATTTATATTTATCAGTTATTTGCTGAATCCTTTATTTTAACAAACAGTGCAAGAAACAACGAATCAAATAACATGCACAACGGTAATAGCGTCGGTTGGCTAAGCACTATGCGGAAATCCAAATACTAACGACACCGTGGGGCGCCAGGCGTGCTCAAACAGCAACATTGTTTAAAGGTGCAAAATAAATATTGAACATGGCTATATGAGATTCCTTTGAGTCACCGCAACCAAATATCCGACCGATGCGTAACACACGGGGCACTGCCGAGCATAACACCATCCGCCAGGTCGAGTTGGGCTTATGACGTCACCAAAATCCCCTGCCTCTTCGTTAGGGAGTTGTTGGTTTGATCTTGCAGCACTCCATGCCCTTCCAGTGGTAGTCGGAGGAGGAGAGGCTGTACTTGAGGCTGACTATTCCCACCGCGGAGGGGAGTTGCGGACACTGGAACGGCCAGCTGGAAATAGAGCGGAAAAACGTCAATAATGGGGAGGGGGGTTGTTGAACGGAACGGGAGCATGCTATTGCTGCAGTTTGTGCGGCGCAAAACTCGAAACAGAGTTGGAGATGAAGCACTTGACGATTAGTCTGCAGCCAATACACAAGAAGAAATATCCACAGTGTGTATGTATAGTTACTCACATCGAAAGTGTGCGCCGTGCGATAACACGTCCTCTGCAGACTACCCATTGTATTGGCGTAAAATAACACGTTTCCTCTAGCCTACCCGTAGTATTCGCGTAAGCTAACACGCTCCCCTGCACACTACCCACGTAGTTGGCGTAAAATAACACCTCCGCTCTCGGTTACTCACTCGCTCGTGTCGCTGGTCGAAGACTGCATGGCCTGAGGGTCGTCGATGGGCAGTATAGCACAGTCGGATGCGTCCACCGTGTAGGGACCCTGCACGGGCGCGCACTGCATGCTGGTAGGGGTGTTGAACTTCCAGTCGTCGTCAATGAGGGTGACCAGGACCGAGCCGTCAGGACAGCGGTAGAGTTCCTGTGAGGGGGGTAATCACAGTGTCTCACAGTCACAGTTCACATCTTTCAGCCCTTGTCTTGTCGTGGAAGCACAGGGCTGGAAAAAAGATTGAGTATCTCCGGCTGCTTTCGTTTATGAAGGAAAAGTGGTTTATATCCGGCAAAGTCTGCAAGGGAAATGAAAAAAATATACAGTTTGGGCGCTGACATCCAACTATCATAAGTGTTCTCTTCGCCACCTCCTAACGACAAAGATTGTCATTTTTTACTTATCTTGACACCACAGTGTTGAAACAGTACTGGGAGTAAGTCCAAAGTTGTAAATGCTCTTATACTCAAACTTATGCACTAAGCAGTGTGCAATATGCATTACGGCTGGCCTAGCCTCCAGTGTTTAACTCAGGTTTGGCTGAGCGGTAATATAACGTTGTAAGGCTGACCGTTGACCGTTGATCTGCCGTGACCCCGCCCGTGTTACCTACCGTGCCCGATGAGAACCCCATCCGAGAACCCGGCGCTCCGATCACAAGGTCGGGATAGTGACGGTACTCGGCACAGTTTGTGTCATCCAGGTCCTGTCAACAACACCATAACGTTGTGTTATAGACAGCTAACTGCATCCAGTCCTGCCAATAACACCATAATGTGGTGTCAGACAGCTGACCCCATCCAAGTCCTGCCAACAACACCATAACGTTGTGTTAGAGACAGCTGACTTCATCCAGGTCCTGCCAATAACACCATAATGTGGTGTTAGAGACAGTTGACGCAACACAGGTCTTGCAAACAACACCATAACGTTGTGTTAAAGACAGCTGACCCCATCCAGGTCCTGCCAACAACAAGTTTAAAGACAGCTGACCCCATCCAGGTTCTGCCAACAACAAGTAACGTTGTGTTAGAGACAGGCGACCCCATCCAGGTTCTGTCAACACCATAGTGGGGTGTTAGAGACAGTTGACCCCATTCAGGTCCTGCCAAAAACACCATGACGTTGTGTAAACTGTAAGAGACAGCTGACTCCACTCAGGTCCTGCCTCATACGGCTAGTCTGCTTTTACATCACATCGCTACAGCCTGTACTGTAAGTAGGTGTAATGTATGCAATTAATTGCACCACGTCACTTATAAGAACATTTTTGTCGACACAACCATATTCCAACACAACAAAGAAGTGATGCTTTTTTTGCAGCTCACCTTCCACATTGTTCCATAGGTCGGGTCATCCTTGAGACCCACCATAACCATGTTTGCAGAGGAATCTTGTTTGCAGCTCATTTGGTACGACCCGTCGCCCAGAGGATTGCCTTTTTGAGGCTTCCGAACGAATGCCACGTCAGGAGCTGACAAAAAAGGTTTAGCTTAGAAGCGCACATTTGACATAAATAGCACACTCTGTGCATACAAAGTAACACCGTCTAAATTCTAAATTTTCTTATAGATACCGAACTCGGCAAAAGTCATTACATTGCTTATGAGAGCGTCCTAAAACGTTACTAAATACAAAGTATATACTCAATATTCGGAAAGTTGCCACAAGCTAGACACTCTGCGATGTCTCAATAAGAGCAAATAATGCTGGATATTTTAGCATAATAAACTCGTTTCGTAGTGCAGATTTCATGGCGTAAACTAATAAAAATGCCATTGTTAATCGCAAATGACGCTGCCGTTGTATTCTAGAACAGCCTCGGCAATTCTGGGTTGGGTATATGCGCATGTTTTTAAGTCACGCCATGCGATATTTAGCTCCCCGATGGCCCCACGCATCGTTCGCCCGTACGCACCTACGGTGACCGCTGCAGTTGTTGTTGTTGTGGTTGTTGTTGTCGTCGTCGTCGTTGGCGTTGTTGTTGTTGTTGTTGTTGTTGTTATTATTGTTGTTGTTGTTGTCGGTGTTGTCGTTGTTGTGATCGCTGTTGTTGTTGTTGTTGTTGTTGTTGTTGTTGTTGTTGTTGCTGTCGTTGTTGTTGTCGTTGTTTGCGCTGTCGTCGTTGGTGCTGCTGTTGATGGTGCTGTTGTTGTGGTTGTTTCCGTTGTTGTTGATTGAGTAGTTGCTGTGGATTCTGAAACGAAATAAAACAATAAAAACGATTCATTTTTTGCGAACAGACAAGATCAACCTACAATACCCCCTTTGAATCCCATCGCGCTTCGTATGGATAAGTCACATGAATCTACATACATGACGGCACTCACGGGCAGTGGGCGAAGTCGTTGGGGCAGTAGTGGTCGAGGTCGCTGGATCAGCAATGGTCGAAGTTGCTGTAGCCGTGGTTGATGCAGTCGAAGGCACAGCTATTGAAGACGCTGTAGGCCCAGCGGTGGAGACAGCAACAGCTGTTGTTGTTGCTGCCTGTCCTGTGGTCGAGGATGGTGGAACGGTACTGGTTGTGATCGGGTCTCCTGAAGCAAAGCAGTAAAAAAAAAAAGACGGTCAATGACGAGCATGTTCATCGGGCCATTGGTGAACCCGACGTCATGGTTCTCTTTTTTTTTCTACAAAATGAGTGATAAGTAAAGGGGCGGCGAATTTTTGTGGAAATAAAGAACGAGGCCTTACGAACAAGCCCGCAACAAGGCGACTAAGTCTCAGTGAATAGACCTCTACTCAAAAGTCGGTCGTATATCGAATAGATGCGATTCGATGCGGTCAACGTTAGGATTACGAGAAAGTTGCTTTCGAAAATATGCCAATAAATGCATACCAAACTCCTATAATGCAACGATTTGTTGTTAAAAAGTTATATGTATATATTTTCAAATCAAATAATTTAGCGTTTTCCCTTTTGGTGACATTTGAGATATTGCATGGTCAAATATTATTTTTGCTGAAATTGATGTCTCAGAAGACCTAAGTCCTGCGCTGCTGAACAGCGCAACAGGCATAATCGACATTGCATTGCAAGTGGACCTTGTAATGGACATTGCAGTGGAGATTATGTTTCCAGAATAGCTTCCATTAAACATTGGTGGTTAAATGAGCCAGACACCACCCAGAGCTCATGATTACGGCAGCAGCTGTCAGCTTTCATAAATTACATGTCATAATTTGAATGTTTCGTTAAAAGAACTGATTATGATTGCACGGTAGTTTCGTGTTGCACTTGCACATGTAGGGCACATTTAACAAGACCGCACGTGCGTTTTCAGCGCCGACGATGTGCGTTCTTACCACACGTAGTTCGGTTGTGCGGGACCCGCCCCTCTGGGCAGCTACAGGTGTTCTCTCGACACACCCCACCACCCGAGGTCAGCAGGAGGCAGTCCTCGGCCGACGAGCACCAGTCGCCCAAATAGGCTGCAATCAAACGTGTATGTGTAACCCGCAGTAATGATTATATACAGCTCATGACTACTGCGGTTAAAGATCGGCGCTTCTCGTTGTTACCAAGGGCACACAATTATTTTGCGGAAGATAAGAAATCATGCAAATTTTGCTCCAGTGAGGAAAGCTTAAAAGTGTTATGAATGTAGAAGAGTCACCAGTTGGGGATGGAAAACCAGAATCTACCACGATGTGAGGCATTTTGATTAATGATAAATGACCTTACCCTCGTACTCGTAGTTTGAAAAAGTTAGATCAAAACACTTGTTTATTAATAATTTCGAGCACAGCTCTTCATCAGAATACAAAGCTAAAAATGTCACGATAAAAATCCAATCTTTGACAAAGATTGTCAAGTCAAAGATTGGATTTTTTATCGTGACATTTTTAGCTTTGTATTCTGATGAAGAGCTGTGCTCGAAATTATTAATAAACAAGTGTTTTGATATAACTTTTTCAAACTACGAGGGTAAGGTCATTAATCATTAATCAAAATGCTTTAATATGATCCTCGCACAAGCACTGAGAAACTTAAAGAACGATGTGAAGCATGCTGAACTTTGACTTGCGTCTAAATTAGTATTCTAGGAATGCGTGTCATGCAGCAGCCCGATTGATTTGACGGGAGGATCGCCAGCCAATGGAAGACGTGTCCACTGTCCGTATTCCTTCTCTGCGCTTGAGCAGTCAAAATAAATCCCGATCCATTTGGATCACATATTTATTCCTTTAGAGAGTAAACTATACATTTATGGCAGAAGGCAATGCATAGAAATAGAGAAAAAGTACCTTGAAGAAAAAAAAACAAGTAAATTATTGATGCGCGCAGCTCGATATAGGCCTATACATAGATAGATAACTACACGTATGTAGTTGTGGATGTATTTGACGGACAAGCTATTACTGAGGGCCCCGGTAATGAGTATGTGTGTATTTCGCATCTAGCACACAATTTAACCTTTAGCTTTACCTACATACTGCTGCAAAGCACTGCATTACATTACATTACTGCAAGTACATTAGTCACCGATAGTGGCACTGCCAGCAGTTAGTGCATTGCCATCAATAACCGAAAAGTACAGCCGCGTAACCAATTCATCACCTACCACTCTACCGTCAGGCGTCATAAAGGCATTTCTGCATATGCGCAGCATGATATTATCACCCTTATTGACATTTCTGAATCAGATATCCTCACTGTTGCTATTTTGCGTTTGCCAGGGCATGATTTGAACGAATTATTTCGCTTTACATGAGACATAAATGGACATACTTCTCAATGGTATGCATACAGGTGAACATGCTCTACAATATACCATCTACATTCAACCCCCTGCGTTGCCATCGCAATTTTTATGAACCGAAAAAAATGGTCTTTGCTGTTCAGTAAGACAAACTACGGCTTCAGACAAAAGTTCAAATCACAGACTATTAGCCATCAGGTAACTTCGAAAGGCGACTAGCAGATAATGAATGGGGCTGAGAGCCTTTGCTGTCATTTTGCCTGCCGGGAATCAGCGATTTGGTTTCATCATACATAGGCCTTTGTACCCCGTAAACAGATGTTTGATTGAATCAACAGCGGGCTGCTTCATTATTTGTCATCATCGCACCCGATAAACTTTCAAACATGCGGAATCAGACGAACATGCACGCACGTACAAACACGCGGGCATTAACACATTATCGCCTGCTGGAAACCTCCATGCATTAGCAATTCACTTCCAATCGACTCCATTACAAGGTTTACACAATACACATTATACTTCTGGCATACAAGGGTCGATGCCAAAAGCCAGTTATTCGCAGACTGGAGGATGAAAAAGAGTATTATGGGCTTAACCCTATTCCTGGCGGGGGGGCCTCAGGAGCCCCCCCTGAGGTTTTTTGGTTATTTCTCCCAAACGCGTTGAGCTAGGAAGCTCAAATTTTCTGACTTTTCCTAAAAGGCTTCTACGCAACATGTCTGAAAATTTTGAGTTGATCTGACCTCAGGTCAGGTCACCAGAGGCGGTTTGGTGACCCTACCTCAGAAAAGTTTGCAATCACGCCAGAGCTAGAGTTTTTGACCGATCAATTTCTTCTCTTCAGGCTTTAGTTAGGGTACCAGTATGTGCAATTTGTATATCTCGGAATTTTGATATCGGTGACCTAAGGTCAGGTCAGTTTCGCGACCTCCCCATTATAAGTCAATGGGGGAAAAATCAACTCCCTGTTTTTACCACTAAAACGGGTCGGAATGGCCCCATATACCATACATGACTTCATATACGATCAACCTTCACTACCTTGAGGCCTGTTTTGCTGTTGGGCAGCTGTGAGGTCATGTGACGTCATCAAAGGTCACCAAAGGTTTTTGGCCAATAACTCCGTACAGGAACAAGATACAGACGCGTGGATGGTCTCATTGTGTTCAGCTCGTCAAGACGCATCGAATTATATACATGATGACCTCGAGGTCACGTGACCTGAGGTCAACCTTTGACCTTGACCTTTCGAGGTCAACATATATATCATTCGATGCGGATTGACGAGAGGATCACGATGATGCCCTTGGTTTGTTCCTATCTTGACTAATTCGAAAGTTATTCGAGAAAAACTCTCTCCATATCTAGCGCCGCCATTTTGACTTTTTCGACCCCTGTGACGTCATCTTTGACCTGACCTGAAAATGACCTTTGTAAAAATTGTAGATCTTGACCATGCGTATCCGATGCCGTTTGCCGCTTGTCGCTATCTTGCTTCGTTCTCGAGATCTCAGGGGGGGGCCGAATCGGCCCCCCCCCCCGCCAGTTTCTTGTCCCGGCGGAGCCCGCCAGGAATAGGGTTAAATTTGGTCTCTTTAAATTTTTAATTTTATAGATATAGATAAAAAAGCTAACTTGTAACCAAACACATTATACATGCAGATATTTATGCCTCAGTCAATAGCACTTTATAAGCCTGAGATTTGTCATTAAATCACCTGTGGTCGGTTTATTTCTACCAGTAACGTAATTTCTTTGATGTTTTTATTTAGTTTTAAATGACCATCATATACCGAATCTTACCGAGTGCCGCACGGTAGCGGATTCGCTCCGGTCTCGGAGAGTCGACATTGCCGCGGACCGGGTAGAGGGTGCAGCTCTGGTCCGTCGGAACGTGACTGAAGCTCAGACAGTCTTCCCTGGTCAGACATTTAGTCAGACAGTCACCTGGGAAACGTTATGATGATGATGATCAGATCATGAAGTCAGTCGCCAGTTTTTTGACAGAGAAGTAGGTTGTGTGAGTTCACACGTAGCTTATGCCAAAATTACTAGAACTTCTATAGCCAGTAACTACCATCAGTCGGCTAAACCTGGTGCGAATATGCATTGTTTTTCAATCTATAACTCTTATATGCGTGTATTTCTCGACGAACAACTTTTGAAATTGCTACAAATGCTTTTGCTTTTACCAATCTTAGTCGCCGTCCGTGGCTGTCTCGTCACCCCAAACCAGCATCGTCCAGCGACCCTCCCCACTGCCCGCGCATAATTACACCTCATTCTTATGTCAACATTTCGGCAAAGGTTGAATGTCTTTTCTGGCTATCCTTGTGTCTTCTTGGTTACTCTTTTTGTACGGCTGGTACAAACGGTTAGTGCCGTCGCTGACGTCGTCGTTGTATAAATGTACAATACCTATGTCACCCACCGGCATCCATGCCCCGGTGGTTTGCGCCAAATAACCCGCCAACTGTAGGCAAGTAGTTAGCTATTGTCCGGGTGCCATTCTCTGGCTGAATAGATGTCATCCAACCACCAAAATAATACATGACAGTTAAGGCCTAGCTACACTATGCGTTTTTTGCGTGCGTTTTTTGCGAGTTTGCGTGTTTTGCAAAATATCGTTCTAGAAAAAAGGTTATTATTAATTAACCTTCTTTAATATTTATATAAAAGTTAATAAAACGTTTATGTTAATTAAAAGTTTATATGAAAAACATTTAACAAAAACGTAATGTCGTTTCTTTCTAGAACGATATTCCGCAAATCACGCAAACTCGCAAAAAACGCACGCAGAAAACGCATAGTGTAGCCAGGCCTTTATTCACTACCTTTCAGTGGCGCTGCTCGGTCCAGTACCGACACACGGTATGTGATCGCTCCCTTTCGTGAAAACTTTGTGCGCCACCCGACCCCGTTCGTGCGGCTGTCCGGGTCGTTTGAATACCGACCGCCAGCGGATGGCACATTGTCGCTTCCGAGCTTCCTTGAATGGGTGATGGGTGCTAAGGTATTTTTACTGGTGGGAACCCCGCCCATACATGCACTGGGTCGATTCTTGGAGCCAACATTTGTATTTGTATTTGTATTTGACGGTTAACCCTCGCCGGACCTATTGGTTTTCTACATACGCGCCGGCCGAGGGGGGGGGGGGGGGCGTTGGTACGACCCCCTCGCCGTTTCGCCCCTGATGAGCTACAGCGTCACGGAAAAAAAACGAGCGTGTGCGCCGTTACGACTTACGAGACGCAGCGACTAGTACCCGATTTTAAGGTCTCAGGTCAACTGGTGACCTCTGAGTTCAGGTCAAGTGGCCCAAGGTACGGGTTCGGCTTGTGGTAAATAATTTCGCAAAAACGGCCGCAGAGCCGCGATTTTGGCATAATCGTGCTCGCCTTTCCATAGTTGAACCACTAAGCGTAGCTTATTGTTTATCTCATGGGCGCAATTGACTGATCTTTGAGCAGCGTATGTGGCGAATTTTAAGAAGCGAAACTGATCACTGCATGAACGTCGCAGTGCTTTCGCTGAAGACGTTCTGGATCGTCGACGTCTTCCACAGGATCAGCTCTGTTTGGAGTTCGTCAAATTGCAGGGGTTGAACGATAAAGTCGTCCCGAGGTCAGTTTTACCAGCAGAAAAATAGCCGGTTGCCGGCATTTTATTTCTAGAAGCCTCTCTAAAGGTCAACTAATCGCATGGGAAATAAATAATCGCTAACGTAAAAACATGTAAGGTAGGCTGGCTGATATAAATATTAACATCAGTGGACTTCAGTGATCAGTGGACAGTGGACTGACATCAGTGGAAAAGCCGGGACGAGTTAAGACAAAAAAGAGAAAAAACCGGCAGCCAGCGATTTTTCCGTTGGTAAAGCTGACCTCAGCATACTGTATGACTATGGTGATTGTTTAGCCAAGTTCTGACCACAGGCAAGGCCGTATAAACCACAGGGTGGCTTAAAGAACACTTCTGGGAGACCAACATGCGTGGAACGATTTAGTTTATCATATTTATAAGCAAAAAAAAAAAATCAGCACGATAAATGACATTAAGTATGCACTCCATATCATAGTTAGAAAAACGGAGCCTTTGAAATAGAGATATATCACGCACCGATTAATTAAAACACAAGCGATTGTTATTGCGTTATTGCTTGGTTTTCGTCGCGAATGGCCCGTTTAGTTATTGTCAGGCTGATGTTAGGCCCATTCCGATATGTTTACAGAGACGTTGGTTCGAAACTGTATCCACTTCGACCTGAGTGTTCTCGCCGGACTGTTGAGAACAATTTCGGTTACTGAATGACACTGTACTAGACAGCTTGATACGATACGGTTTACTCGACCTCTTTTCAACCCTACTCATTCTCACCTGCCGTCACCACTCTCACTCTCACCATTTTCATGTCTCTACTCTGCTCTTTATCAGATACATTCTCCAACCTGTGCATAGGCATTCATACCCTGATTGCTTATCTGTTGCTTCTCCTCTTACCACCACTCCTACCCTACTTTTACTACTACTTCTACCTCTATCCCTTTCATACCTACTACTAACCCAGCTCTCCTACCCGTACCCCTACCACCTCGATTATACAGCCCCTCGCTCGGACTCACATTCGCTCATGGTTCCGAAGGACGCCAGAACCTCACTCTGATCCGGCTGACCGATCGTCATGTGCCAGAGCGCCGAGTGGACCACGAAGGACTGCGGAGGCAGACCACTGACCACCAGCAGCAGACCAGACCAGACCAGCGGTGTGAGCCAGCCAGACCCCGCCGCAGACCCCATGGTGGCCGCTCCGGGTCTACCGGACCAGTGACGAGGGCTGTCGGTGGTGTATTTACAGGGGGCTCGTCAGGGTGTCCCGGTAACACCGAGTGGTGCGCTGGGTCCCCGAGGAACAGGTCAGTTTTAATACCCACGGACTGCGTCGTTACAGGCAGGTGTTAAAATAATATAGTGCTTCAAGAATTCATGGCGATGATCGATGTTTAACTCATTGTACATATGACCAAGTACGAATATTAATGTATACGTGTGCATTGTGTGCATCTATTTTACAAGAAAAAAAATACATGAATGCACGTAAAACAGCTGGGTCGCCCAGCCGCAGAGATCGTGTTCTCATAACTTGCTGACACTACCAAATTACTTACCGAAAATGCCACAATTTATTGAAAGGGCGGGCTCGAAGGGATATGTATACAGATATATAAAGGGGATATATAAAGGGATACAATATGTAAACTACATGAAACCCAACATTTAACTATAATACAAACATTTCCTTTTAGAATTTTAAAACTTGACACACATTTTTATTTTCTATTTTCCAAATACTTTTCGCTAAATTTTGCTAAACGGTGCCTTAGTGAATACCAAGCCAGCACTCGCGAGGATAACGGAGAGACGGCTGTCTGTCGCTGAGTGTCGCTGTTGTTTGTCGCTGTTTGTCGCGGAACGGTAAGCGCTAGTGTGCTGACCTCCCGGAGTCTCACCCACACACCAAACATGTCTCCCCGCTGAGAGAACTCACTGAGGGGTACTACAAACACCCCTCGGTACACTGGGTGACCCGAGGGGCGCCTGGTGGCATTGGTCCCCGCCTCAGCGTACACAGTTTATCAGAAATTTCACCATTTCTCTCGCAGCCCGCAGGGGTAGAAAAAACGAGCAAATTTTATCGAACAAAGTTTGCTATAGGATATACAGCAACGTATGAATAAGAGCAATCAGAAGAGTTTCTAAAAATTGAAGAACTTTTTGGGGAGTAGTGACTATCCTTCAGCATCATCCAATCCTTTCTTGATTCACCAGTCTACGGATTGATCTGATGACCGGGCATTGGTTTTCAAGTTAGATGTTTGTTTCAATGCGATCATTGGTTTTGTGCGCATACCTATTCCTGATGTGCCTGGAGTGTTTTTTTCTTAATTAAAATATGCACTCGGATAACGTGCATGAAGGATATTCTGCAGCTAAATTGCAGTGCGGAAGAATTTTGTGAGTTTTCCGTGTCGGTTGTGCTTTTGCTCTTTCTTGTGTGCTCGACCCGCAATTTTCATTTTGCAAACGGGCTTAAATTACTACACCCGTCGGTAATCGACGACTGGCACTGGCGAATGATGGATTGGATGAGATTTAATCTAAATATTCTTTGTCCACGTCCCGTTTTATTCGCGCGGCATACCCGGCCTTATTATGTCAGGTTCTCTTTGTCCCAAATACGTTTATCTCATCTTTATTGGCATTGCATTCAATTTCAATCGTATAAACTTGAGATGTGTTTTGCCTAATGTTAAGGTCACAGAAATACGTTTACATACTACGCTTGCGTGTGACGTCGAATTACTTCTTGTTTTTGGTGCCCTCCACTTCGCGTGTTTCGGGTAACTCTTGCGCAAGCGGCTCGCAAAAGCTTTCCTGACTACGAGTCATTGAGAAGCATGCGTGCATATAATCGCTATTATAGTGGGCTCGCTTGTACATAAATTAGCGTGATTTGGCTCGTGATTGGTTATGGCCTCTGGTGACGTATGTATAGTGAGTTCTTGACCATTTGGTGGTCAATGTCACCAGCTGTTTGTCGAGGTCATAAGGTACACACATTTCGACCCGGACCGACGCCACCCGTGACTCCCCCCCCCCCCCCCCAAACGAAGTCTCCCACCGATCGAACAATAAGGCCAATAGATGTAAGCAACAGACTATGACCAATACTACCAATTGATGAGAGCACTTAGGACGCATCAGCCGCAACGCACATACAGAAACGCCGGAGAGTTTCCACGTGTGTTTGTTAGCCCTCGCCCGTATTGGTGTTTTTCCAGCCGCGAACGTATAAGGGGGGGGGGGGTCAACGTATCAGGGGGACCGACGCCACCCTTGCCGTTTCGCCCCTGATCGAGCTAGAGCTTCGCGGAAAAAACGAGCGTGTTGCCCGTGACGAGAGGAAGCCAATGATACCCAATTTTAAGGTCCTAGGTCATTGGTTGACCTTGCAGGTCAGGTCAATGACCCCAAAGGCGGGAAAATCGGGACCTGTTAGAACGTCGTAAAGTGTGGCTGCTATGGGTTTTTCGGGGTGCTGATCACGAATATCATGTTAGTTTTGATCACAGATGATGTATTCATGTATTTAGGCCAGGTCGGGTCAGGTCAGGTCAGGTCAACCAGTAAGGGTATTCGTAGTAGGTGGCAACCGCCTCTGACAGCTTCGTAACATGTTACGAAGGCACCAAAATTACTTCGTAAATGCTCATATGGTTGCTAAATTCGAATTCAGCTCCAAAAACTGGCCTAGAAACATGTAAAATTCGAAAAAGTGAACCGAGGTCATCAAAGGTCAATGACCTGACCTGACCTTCAGGTGACCTTGACACCCACCCTAAGGCATGGGGGCAACATCATATCAAATGTTTGAACGTTTGAAACCACGAAAAGACTGCATACGCGCGGCTAATGCGAGCCGACATACGCCGAATCGCGATTCCAGCCAAACATGGTCTCGAAAAGTAGGTCACAGGTCAAAGGTCATTTGGGTCAGGGTCATGAAATTTTCAGGGTAGGTGTGAAATTGATGAACGCGAGGGTACTGAAAGTTTCGTCGCGATCGGCCGCTTTTTACGCGAGTTATTCGCGAAAAACCATGGGTGGGGTCCGTTCGACCCCCACTATACGGGCGAGGGTTAAAGTAGGTAAAAGTGCGTTAAAACAGCACAAATGCTACAATCGTGCCTAGCAATCGTGGCCTTTCTGCATGAGGCGATAGTGCGACTGAACTAAGAAATGCGATAGAAATGCGGGCTCGAATCTTGTCTGTCGGCATGTACCTATAAACGCAATCGGAAGCTGCCGCACTAATCGTTCCCCGCAGGTGTTCCATTATTAACCGTAGAATTTGAGTCAGGTCAAAAGCTAGAGCGGTCCAGCTTACGCCGGTTCGTCAGTAGGTCCAATCCACCTAAATTGAGCTATGTCACGCGCTCCGTACAACGCTGTAAAGGCGTGGCATGAGACCATTTCAATTTCATTTCCGTTTCTATATTAAATTTATTGAACTTTCGTATATATCGGAGCCCGGAGGCAAATGTTGGGTCAGTTGAGTCCACTACTTATTGCTGCAAGGCTGAGTGTTTTGCTGACATATTACTGAGTATAAAACGCACAATACCTATAGCTCTTGTATTTGTTACTTGTATTTGTGTTTTGCCAGTTAAATTGATCCGAATTCCAAGGTGTCCCGAATCTCGGCTGAATCTGGGCTGCAGCCTCGAGTAACTGGCGGATCTAGAAAGGCGGTCTTGGACGCTGCACATTGACAAAAAAAGCGCCCGACATTGACGAAGATCTGTCGTTTTTTCGAGAATGAAACGAAAACTAAACAACTTTTATCATGTAAAATTTGTTTTAAACAGCACAGCAGTGCGCAAGGAACTGAAATTCGATGATTTTTCAGAACTTGAAGAAACTTTTCTATAGGGGTAGGGCTAGGCAGTAGGTATGCACCCCCGCAGCGTCCAAGGCCGATTTTCTGGATCCGCCAGCGTAGGTACCTATGAATATTCACAGTCGCTATGTCTTCACTACTATGCTAAAATTTCAACTCAAATGATTAACGACTTTAGGTGATGTAGAGAACTCCAACTCATCAATTTTCTTACAATTGGCTAGCATTCCCCATTTGTAAGTAAGTACGACCATGGATGAAGTAGTGTAATCCATGGTACGGCATAGTGAGTCGCAGCACATTTCATTGTTTATATCAAGAAATTTGAAAATGATGACCCATGACCTGACCAGAAGTCACTAATATCGCAACAATAGGGTTCACATGTGAGCTACCGCAGCAATTTACGTTCATAAATCATATTCAGCGCGCAATATCAATCAACTTTAGCAAAGTCTACACTGGTCCACACTGCACAACTTGGAGTCGCCGATATATAATGTAAGGAATTATTATTATTATTATTATTATTATTATTATTTCATTTATTTTCACCAACCACAGAAACGTGGGCGTTACGGTGAAAATAGGCACGAGGTAGGTAATGCCTTCTGATACGCACTCCGAAGCGAATGCTTATACGGCAGTAGGAATACGCCTTACGAGTTACGATTGTGCCTTTAGAGAGATACGGTAGTACGAATGCGATGGGGTTTGCTCTTACATTTACCGCATAGGTTAAGTCTATTTCCATTGCACCTTAAAATTGTTTTGTTTTAATAACTCTTGCATTTTGTTTCCCTGCACAGCCGTACAAGGCAAATCAGCTGTGCATCTTAAATTCGTACATCAGTTTTGAATAGGTGCTCTAATTTAATTTACGAGCTCGTCACACGCTCCTTGTTGAAAATGCACAGGTTATGTACTCGATAAACGCCACAGTAAATTAGCAATGTCACCTGTTGAATGAGTAGTTGCAGCAATTAATTGTATCGAAATGAATTGTGGCCACCTGTTTCAACTCGTCTGGTTCGGTAGGCTCAAGCTCAGCCGCTATCAGAAATTCACGTTCCGGACTGATAGAAGGTTGATCGAAAATAATTGGCGACACATGAGTTACAGCACAGGGCACGCAGTGTGGATGGGAATCCTTAGGACTTCACGTTCGGGAAATAGCCACCAACCGTTATAAAGCATAGCCGAAAACAAGGAAAAAATACATAGCCTTCGGTGTCTGAAAGCCAATCGCTTCCGAGGATTGGGCTGGGGTGTTCTGGTGACCTCAAAGGTCAAGATAAAGTACAACCACTTTCAGGTCGTGTAGATCATTGTCTTCACAGATAACGTGCAGGTAACGTGCAA